ACTGTCCCATATGAACCTGGGACCAGGATCGTTGAAGTTCTTGAACTTAGGTTTTGGTGTGTTTTTAAATTTGAAGCGAATATTCACTCCTAAATAATTTTGAATTCAAATTTTTGTTTTGTTTCTTTTAAATAGAATCTTAAAACTGCATAATTTTCAGGTCATAAACTTGGATCCTTCCCTTTTCTTAACCCTGCTACTTATATTTCAAGATGTTCCACAATTTTTCCTAAACCTTCCTTAAAATTTACCAGTTCAGTTGTTCCTACACTATAGCTGGCGTCAGATTCACCTATGAAAACTGCAAAAATGCAAGGCCAGGTCCTAGTGTACTCCAATGATCCAGGGTGTTTGGGTTCTGTATTGGCTCACCAAGCCATTGTAACATATCCCAGCATTTCAGAGCCACCACTCCAGGTCAGGGTTTCTCAAAGTTACAATTCATAGACCCCTAACAGACTTGTGAATTTCCTGATTTCAGTGAGGTACTGCAAGTTAAGACCTTTCTTCAATTTTTGTAATCAAATGATGCTCAAATCCATCATTCTTACATGGAAGTAAGGACTAACTGGTAGTATCTTACTAATGAACTATCACATGTCACTAATTGATATTTACCTTAGAATTTGGTGCATTTACTTGAGTTTATTAGAGACACTTCTGATAAGAAATCCAGACCCCTCGGCAGTATTTTAAAGGTCTTGTGTCATGCACAAAAGCAGACTGTGGAGCTTACTGTAATAAAAGAGGAGAGTTTGCTTCCAGCATATGCATCATCAGGGGTGTCATAAGACAGTTCCTGTTCTATGGACTCAGCATTTGTTTCCAAAAACTTTGGTATCTGCTCTTCCACATATCAAGGGACTAGAAGGCTAAAACCTCTTTTCCAGGCTCCATTGGTTCTGGAGATAAGTTAGGTTCTATGAATGAGATGCAAAGTCTCAAACAGAGAGAAGAGTTCACTCTCTAGCAGCTGAGAGTTTTTTCAGTAGTCAGACCCTGATTTAGGGAGTTTAGGTTTGGAACTGCTATGCCATCTGCATAATTTCATCTGATGTCTTGGTCAGAGTGGCATCATGGCTGCAGTGCTATGATTTTGGATGCTGAGAGCAGCCTTTCCTCCACATGTCCGGCTCTTCTAAAAAGCACTTAATTTCCTTTATTAAATACTTATCAGGAGCCAGGAATATAGCTCAGTGGTACAAACATCTGACTGGCAAGCATGAGGTCATGAGTTCAATCCCCAGTACCACAAACAAACAAAAATAAATAAATAAATACTTATCTACTAGTAATACCTAGAGTGATTTATATTTCTTACACTGAATGTAAAAGAACTGTCTGTATTATATATTATGCTCTTGTTGCATTGATGTCTTATTAATCCCTAACTAATCTCTTCTTATATACACATATACAAGGAGTGTACCTAATAAACTCAAGTAAATGTGCCGAGTTTTGTTTGTAAATATCAATTAGTAACCCTTAATAATTTAGTTAGTAGGTAACTATCAAGTAATTCTTACTGCCATGTAACAATGATGGATTTCAGCATCATGATTATAACTAATCCCTTCTTATATAATTATTTCCTGTCTGCTATTGTTTTCAACTCCAATATTTTATTATCATACATTTTCTTTTCCTAGTGAAAAGTGACATGAATGCAATATGGGGCTGTGAGATTTTTAAATCTTTCATAGCTCATAATCTGTAAAGTCTCAGAGTTGAGAGCCATTACTCTTTTTTATTGGTGCATATTAGTAATACAAAATAATGAGAATTTTTTCTCACATTGCTACATGCATATAACATATTTTGACTATTTTCATCCCTATTAGTCTCCTTCTCCTTTTCTGCCTTGTTCTCCTCATACCATTTCCCATCTCTAAAAGTCTCCCTTCTAGTAGACTTCCAGTTTACTGTCATTGCTACTTCATTCAGTTACTTTCATAATGCTCATATAAGAGAAATGATGCAATATTTAACTTTCTGAGATTTGTTTATTTTGATTAACACAGTAGTCTCCAGTTCTATCCCTTTCCCTGCAAATGACACAATTTCTCCTTCTTTATGGCTGAATAATATCCCATTATGAAATCTGGCATATTTCTTTTATCCACTCATCACTTGATGAGCCTTAGGCTATTTCCACAGCTTAGCTATTGTGAATTAATTGCAGTGCCATAACACAGGCATGCATGTATTACTATACTATGCTGCCTTCAAATTTTTTAGGAATATATCAAGGAGTGTTACAGCTGGATCTAATCTTATAGTTATTTTTCTTTTTTGAGGAATCTCCATACTCATTTTCTGTGCTAGTTTATATACACACCAATAGTGTAGGACGATCATTTTTTTTACAGCATCTTCATCAACATTCATGGGTGCTTGCATTCTTGATGACAGCCTTTCTGACTGGGGTGGGATGGAATCTCCATTTAGTTTTGATTCCCTAATGACTAAGATGTTTAACAGTTTTCTTATACTTATTGGCCATTTGTACTTCTTCTTTTGAGAATTTTCTATTCATCTGCCCATATGTTATTGGGTTGTTGTTTTGGTGGGTTTTTGTTTTAGTTCTTTATATATTCTAGATAATAATCCTCTAGCAGAAAAGAAGCTACCAGATTTTCCCTTATTCTGAAAAGGTTGTCTCTTCACTCTGTTGATTTCTTTGCTAGGTTGAAGATTTTATTTGATGTAGGTCCATTTTTTTAATCCCTGTGCTACTGGAGTCCTACTTGGAAATCTTGACCTGTGCCTATCTCTTTAAGCACTCCCTTGTGTTTTATTCCAGCAATTTCCAAGACCCCAAGCTTATATCTAGGCCTTTGATCCATTTTTATTTTATTTTTAATACAGGGGAAGAAACATCTAGATTCAATCCTTTACACATAGATATCCAGCTTTTCCAGAACATGATTTTCACCCCTTTTTGAACAATCAGATGGCTAAGTGTGTGAATTTGTTTCTGTGCCTTTTGTTCTGTCCCATTGGCATACACACAGGTCTGCTTTCGTGCCTGTACCACATTGCAATTGTTTGTATGACTTTGCAGTATAATTTGAAATGGGATATTTGGATGCCGCCTGCTTATTTGCCTAGTCTGGTTCTTTTGGGCTTCCATATGAATTTTAGAATTATTTTTTCTAATTCTGTGAAGAATGTTGTTGGTATTTTAATAGAGATCACATTGAGTCTGTACATCACTTTTGGTAATATGTCCATTTTGACAAGATGAGCCCTATCAATGGATAAGCAAAGGAAGTCTTTCCATTTTCTGATGTCTTCTTTAATTTCTTTGTTCAGTGCTTTATAATTTTCATTACCAAAGTCTTCCACATTCTCGGTTAGGTTGATCCCAAGTGTTTGTTTCACATTATTGTGAGTGGAATTATTTTCCTGATTTCTTTTTCAAGAGTATATGGTATATGAAAAAGCTGTTGAGTTTTGTGTCCTAGAGTTTGTATCCTGGAGTACCAGTGCTATTATTAACCCCCTGTTTCAGCTGAACTGGCCTATTTCTTGCACTAAAATAAAAAATGTACCAGTTATTGCCACATTATCTACTGCACTGACTAGCATGTTCACTGTTCACACACATGCCAATTCCTTTTATTCCTTAGAACCAACTCTGGGTCTACTGTTTTACGGTACAGCAAAGTGTATTTCCATGTCTGCAATTACCATCTTCAGGGGCAGACATCATGCCCTCAAACTCATTACAGAACAACATTAAATATACTGCTCAATCAAAGTTTCATGAGGCTGAGGAAAGTTATAACTGTCTCTGAATACAGTAACTTTTTTTTTCTGAGTGACAGTGACTCGCTGCTGTGGGGAAGGGAAAAAAAAGAGCCTTAGACTACAGGTTGAAAATTCTTTTGCATTTCAGTTGTTACTACAAGAAGGGTCCACACAGAGCTGTCAAGAGTTAGCCTGCTGGTCAGTGTTCGTTCCACTTCAGCTATTTCAGACCTTAAATATCACCGCTGAATACAACCAATAACTAAATGCCAACATAAGAAAAATTTCTTGCTCTCCATTCTCTTCCTTTCCACTTTGGCTCTTTTCCTACCCCCCATTACAACCATTTAAATTCACTTTCCCTTCAAGATTCTTAGTTCATGCCCAGCATCTGAGATGATCCTCTGACAAGCATTCAAACATTTAGCTGAGTGAATAATTCTGACCCTTTATGCATCTTCTTAATTCACAAAATGAAAAGGTATTCTTTCACACTTTATATTCACATCCCCAAGTGTTTCCGCCTCAGGGTGTTTGGGTTTTGTTTTGTTCTTTTATTTCTTTGTTTTCCCCTTGGAAGACGTTTCAATGCCCTCTCTCCATCACTTAAGTTACTCAGTCTTAGCCATAAAAATGCTCCAGATTCCCCTTCCTAAGCATGTTCCCCACATTTTTGCTTCCCTACACAAGCCCCTGTTCTTTGCTGCCTCTCTTACCTTTTATCTTGGTACTCCACACAATCTTAAGTCTCATTTCCTTTCCTAGCCATTCTGCAGCCATGGCATACTGTTTACTGTTAGCGCTTCCCTGAAGGTATGAAATGTCAGCAGTAGATTGTGAATTGCCAGAGTCTTTTAACTCAGTCCTCAATGTCCCTTTTAACCAGTTGTAGCACTGGTTTTTGCTGACTGTCTTATTCTTGAACCACACTCCTTCCTATGTTTATCTTTCTTGTCTCTCCTAGCTCCCTTTCTCTGTCTTTCTGGGTACTTCGCTTTTTGTGTATCTCTGACATGGACAGATCTAACCACAAAAGAGAGATGAGTGTTTAAAAGGTGGTACTGTCGAGGGAGAGGCTGGAGGCAGATGATGCAGCCTGAATATTCAGCCTATGCTATCACACTTTCCCTACTTGTGGCTATTATTAAAACGCCGGAAAACAATGACTTATCCTTGAGAATGAAAACCACATCCAGGTCTCAAGATGATGAAAAAGCCTCAAATGAGCTGAAGGGAACGGCACTCACCACTGTCCCTGAAATGGGGTTGTAGAACCGCTCCAGAAGCTGGACTGTTGTGCTCTTCCCACAGCCACTGCTGCCCACCAAGGCCAGCGTCTGGCCCTTCTTCACCTGCAGGTTCAGCCCCTGAAGCACTGGGATGTCTGGTCGGGTCGGATAGTTGAACACAACATTGCTGAAGGTCACATTTCCTTCCAGCATATCCTAAAATGAGGACAGCAACAGTTAGTTTGCTGCGGTGGTGAAACACAGGGTAAGCCTAAGCCAGTGATGGCAAGCCTTTTAGAGACAAGTGCCTAAACTGCAACCAAAACCCACTTATTTATCACAAAGCATTAACACTACAGTGAACCTGAATATCCAAGCTTGGCTGCTAGGGCTACTTGGCTCATGTGCCAACAGAGAGAGCTCTGTGTAGCCGCTGCAGCATGCACGCCATAGGCTCACCTCTGATCTGAGCCCTTCTACCACCAGGTTTCAAAAGCAGTGGAATCCTACTAGAGGTAAAATTGATTCATACTGCTAAAATTAACAAAGATCTCAGAGTCAATGTTTTTACTGAATGAGTTATTAATCCAATACAAAAGTACAAGACAAATGTGCTAAATTCCTTTCCCCAGAATTGAGTAACTTACACATCAGAAAACTTAACCACTGTGGTTTGCTTATAAAGCTGGCAGTATTCTCGCCTCTCCATAACTTTCTTATGTAGAAGTACTAGATGTTAGAACACATTATTAATACTTACTGAAATAAAAAAAAATTCTTACTGAAATAAACACATAATTTCAAATTTTTGTATTATTACCAGCATTTTAAAAAGTCCAAGCTTATTACATTTCCCCTTTGAATACTTCTGTTTAGAAATCAGGAGCAGATCATACAGTGGGAACCTCAAACTCACCGGCTTCAGGCCTTCTGTGCTGTAGCTGTCAATGGTAGGGACCTTTTCCATGATCATGATGATGTGGGAGGCTGACACTTTGGCTTTGGCATAGTCAGGGGCAAATGAACTGACCTGCCCGACTGCCATGGCACCAAAGACGATGGCTGAAAATACCCTGGAGAACAGAAGATATACATGCACAGTTACAGCTGCATTGCTAGAAAGCCAGCATTTCCACAAGTACAACAGGCCACAAGCAGCACTGTTGAAAATAATTGTAAAACAGATAAAGTTTTTTTATAAACTGAAGAAAACCTATCATAGGACTGTCCTTCAAGTATTAATACTGTCATACAGGTCCTTTGTGTTTCTAATAACACCTTTCAATGCCGTCTGGACACATTTGTCAAACTGTGTGTTTGAACAGTGGACCTCTACAACTGTGTTAAAGCAGCACACAGTGCCATTAGTTGTTTCTTTGCTTAAAAAACATCACTCTCTCCACCTCCCTTCCCTGGTAAGTGGTAGCAGTGTGGCAGACTGCGGCCCTTCCATGGGGAGAACCAGCATCAGCTCCTGAGATCCACTCCATGTTGGAACTTAGGATACTGGGAAGCCAAGCAAGCACCTCCCCTCCCTAGTAAGTGGTGGCGGTGTGGCAGACTGTGGCCCTTCCAGGGGGAGAACCAGCAATGTCTCCTGAGATCCACGTCATGTTGGAACTTAGGACGCTGTGAAACCAAACAACCAGCCTGCCTCCCTGCTAAACAATAGTGAACCTACTGATGCACGGCCTAGAGCCAAACATCCCACTTCCCCTACCCCCCTTCTCCTGTCTCCCCCGTTAGCAAATGGGAACCAGAAATCTGAGCGTCTCCTAGGAGGCTGACCATAGCAAATAAGGGGGACTTCCTTCTACCATCTCTTTAAAGGCAAATATTCTTATTACTGTTTTGCTCTATTCTGATTAATGGTACTGCTTTATGCAGTATTCTGTTTTGATAAGTTCTATAATGTTCTGTATTTCATCGCATTTTGATATACGTGATTAAAAGAACTATTATAAAGATAACAAAATATGCTGTGATACCTATTACTGTTATCCCAGTAAACTGACATGAAGTTCTGTACCAATTTCACTGTATGACCTTAGTTAGCTTTATTCTGTCTTGCTCTGTTGTATTTTACCACTTTCAAAATAAAAAATTTTTAAAAAGTCACTCTAAATAAATTATGCAGATGGTTAATCTTGTCCTTATCACTCAAAATCTTTGAGATCTACATACTGCTGCTCACACAGATCTCCCCTTTGTTGTACCCACTTGGAAGACGGATTTTGCAAAGCTAAATGTCTGAGTGACACCAACATTCATCAATTCAAAGTAAGGTGAAAATAATCCAATGACAGACCTAATATCCACAATGTCTAACTTTGATCTTTACGTTATAATCACAAATAGCACCTGTACATTATATGTCACACATACATATAAGAAAATAGACATTTTAAATCTTCTGTGAGGGCCATCCTGAACTACCTATCATGTGTGAATAAGTCAAAACAGACATATTATACTAACACATTATATTCTGAGACTCCTATGATTCTGATTTCAGTATAAAACTTTGTTACTTTTAGTACTATGTTAAATTTAGTATATGTTAGTATACTGTTAAAGGGCAGAGTTCTACCAGTCACCAATTCTATAAGATCAGAAAGATCACACAACGTTTTCACTGCTAAACTGGTTCTTTTGTTATATTAGTAGTATAATCAAGTTTAAACCTGATTCTCTAGACTACAATATAATTTCCTATAACTATGGAAATGTGGCAGAAAAATCCTCATCTAGTTTTTCCTTTGTCATTTTTTCATTTCTCCAGCACCTCCCTTGCAACTGTTTCCTTAGCAAGAAAAAGTGAATTTGCCTTGGGAACTTCCGGGACATGTGGCATGTGGGTGGCACTTTTCTGTCCTAACTGCTGTGCTGCACAGCTCTTTACACAGAATTGTCAGGCCCTTCTCTCAGGCTGGGGCTCAGATTTCTTCCCAAATGCCAACGCTGGCATCTGGGGTGAGTCCATTCCCCATCCCGAGCCCAGGAGACTGTGTTAAGATCATCGCTCCCAGAGCTCAAGGACTTGCCCAGGTCCCAGCCACACTGGACTAGCCTTGGGAGGCTTTGCAGCTGGAGTAGATTATACCCAGTGACCTTCTTCAATTACGGGAATTGAGAACAGGTGGAGTGAGTTCAAGAGCATTGGTCGTTGCCCGGGGAGAGCTTTAGCCCATCATCCACAGTGTTTAGATGCCTGCCTAGCTACCTGGAACACAGAAGGTGGTACAGGAGGGCCCGCAGGCCTGACTGGACCATGCTCAGCAACCTCCCTTCAGTCCCAGGAGCCTAGGGCATAGGAGACAATTTCCAACACATCAAAGGGAAGCCTGAGAAAAACACTTGAAACACAGAAATATAGGAAAATAACAAAACAATAGACCAAAATGCAATCTCAACCCTCTAATTGATCCCAAGAAAGCCTAGGAGCCATGTACATAGAAGAAAATATATGCCATACACCTGAAATACCTGTAATACTAGCAACTGAAATAAAAAAGCAACTCCAGGAAGCTTTAAAGGAATTCAAACTAGAAATAATCTCCCAGGTGAAAGAAGAAATGATAAAAGTAATGAAAGAGATGCTGAACACATCTAAAGACACAGTTTAAAAATTAGAGGAAAAAAACAAAAAGAGAGAATCCTTGAGTAAACAATTTAAGAAACAGAATACATGAAGCAGATTCAACGAGATATACAGGAAATCAAAAATTCTATTGAAAGTTGTCAAAACCGACTCAATGAAAGTGAAGATAGAATTTCAGACCTCGAAGACAAGATTTCAGCTAGTAAACAGGAAAGGAAAGATCTTTTAAAAATAACAAGGAATCAGGAAATAACAATTCAACAACTGTAAGATGAAGCAAAGAAAAACAACATAAGATTAATAGGGATAAATGAGAAAGAAGGGAACAACACAAATGATATCAAAAGACTATCCACAGAAGTCATAGCTGAAAATTTCCCAAATGTGAGAATGGAAACTGACATTAGATTAGTGAAGCGTACAGAACCCCAAATAGACATAACCAAAATAAAACTACACCCAGACATATAATAATCACCAACCCAGAAATCCAGCATAAGAATAGAATACTAAAAGCTGTCAGAGAGAAAAGACAGATCATCTATAAAGGAAAACCTATCAGAATCACAGCAGACTTCTCAACACAAACAATGAGGTCAAGAACAGCATAGAGTGAAGTATTTCAGATCCTAAAGGAAAATGATTTTCATCCTAGACTGATGTACCCTGAAAAACTGTCCTTCAAAATGGATGGAGAAATAAGATACTTCCATGACAAAGAACAGCTGAAGAATTTCATAAACACCAAGCCAACCTTGCAAAGAATACTGAAACACAGTCTAGATACACATAGGAAAACACAACTAAGCAAGGTAGACAACTAAACAGAATGGAAAGATAAAGATGCAACAGCAGAAAGATAACATGTCAACAATAAGCCAATATATAACAGTTATAACCATTAATGTAAATGGTCTCAATTACCAATTAAATGAAACAGACTGGCAAAATGGATCAAGAAACAAAATGCAATGATATGCTGTCTGCAAGAAATCTGTCTAACCCAAAAGGATATTCACAGACTGAAAGTCAAAGAATGGAAAACAATAGTTCATGCAATAGGAACCGAAAAAAAAGTGGGGGTAGCTATTCTGTTTGTAGACAATGTGAACTTCAAAACAAGAATGATCCTAAGAGATAAAGGTCACTACATACTGGTTAGGGGAAAACTTAAAGACGAAGAGATAATTATCTTAAATATATATGCACCAAATTCCAGAGCACCCAGTTATACAAAGCAAGTATTAATAGAAATGAAAAATCAAATTAGCAATAACACAATTATAACAGGAAACCTTAACACACCATTGACACCAAGTAACAGATCAACCAGACAGAAAATCAGCAAAGAAATAACAGAACTGAATCACACCTGTGAACAAATGGACATGGTAGACATATACAGAGTGTTTCATCCAACAACACCAGAATATACATTCTTCTCAGCAGTAGATGGGACATTCTCTAAAATAAGACCATATACCAGCTCACAGAACACATTTAAATAAATGCAAAAGAGTTGAAATTATCCCATGCATGTTATCAGATCGTAGTTCCATGAAACTAGAAATTAATGATAAAAGAAACTGCAAATACCTCACAAACACATGGAAATTGAATAATACACTCTTGAGCAATCAGTAGGTCACAGAGGAAATTAAAGAAGAAATCAAACAATACCTACAAGCAAACAAAAATACAAATACAACTTACCAGAATCTGTGAGATGCAATGAAAGCAGTCCTCAGAAGAAAATTTATTACACTGAGTTCCCATATCAGGAAAACAAAATGAATACAAATAAACAACCTGTTGCTACACCTCAAACGTCTAGAAAAAGAAGAGCAAGTCAAAAGCCCAAAGCCAAAAGAAGGGGGGAAATTATAAAAATCAGAGCAGAAATTAATACAATAGAGACTAAAGAAAACAATCCAAAAAAGTAATGAATCAAAGAGTTGGTTCTTAGAAAGAATAAATAAAAGTGATAAGCCCCTAGCCAACCCTATTAAAAAAGGGAAAGAAACAGCTCGAATTCATGCAATAAAGAATGAAAAAGGTGGAATCACTACAAACTCTGTGGAAATATAGAAGATCATCAACACCTTTTTCTAAAACCTCTACTCTCATAGGTTCGATAACACAGAAGAAATCGACAGATTCCTAGAAACATATGAATTACCAAAGCTGGGTCAAGAAAATGTAAACTGCCAAATAACCCAATTTCTATTAATGAAATTGAAAATGGAATTAAGTCCCTACCTACAAAGAAGAGCCTAGGCCCAGACAGATTCACTGCAGAATTCTACAAGAAATACAAAGAAGATTTAATGCCGACACTCCTCAAACTCTTCAATGAAATCGAAAGGGAAGCAATTCTTCCTAAGGTATTCCTAGAAGCAAGAATTACTCTAGTACCAAAACCTGAGAAAGACCCAACTAAAAAAGAGAACTACAGGCCAATCTCCCTAGTGAACACAGATGCAAAAATCCTCAATAAAATATTGGCAAACAGGATGCAGCAAATCATCAAGAAGATTATACACCACGACCAAGTGGGATTCATCCCAGGCATGCAGGAATGCTCAACATACATAAGTCAATAAATGTAATCTACCATATCAATAAAGCCAAAAATAAGAATCACATGATTATCTCTATAGATGCAGAAAAACTTTTGATAAGGTCTAACATTCATGCTAAGAACTGTACAGAAAATTGTAATAGATGGTCTTTACCTCAATATGATAAAGGCCATCTATGACAAACTAACAGCCAGCATGTTATTAAATGGGCAAAAACTGAAGGCCTTTATATTAAAATCAGGCACAATACAAGGATGTCCCTTATCACCACTCCTATTTAACATAGTACTTGATATACTAGCCAGAGCAATAAGACAAGAGAGAAATAAAAGGGGTAAAGATAGGAAAACATGAAGTAAAATTACCATTATTTGTGGATGACATGATACTCTACATAGAAGACCCCCAAAACTCCATTGAAAGACTCCTAGATATAATAAATAAATTCAGCAATGTAGCTGGATACAAAATCAATACTCAAAAATCAATAGCATTTCTATACACTAACAATAACATCACTGAGAAATAAAAGAAGCCACACTCTTCACACTAACATCCAAAAAATGAAATACTTAGGAATTAATCTCACAAAAGAAGTAAAAGATCTGAAAAAAAAATTGAAGAGGATCTCAGAAAATGGAAAGACATCCCTTGTTCATGGATAGGAAGAATAAACATTGTGAAAATGGCCATTCTCCCAAAACTGTTATACAGATTCAATGCAATCCCAATGAAAATACCATCAACACACCTCATAGATCTAGAGAAGTCAATCCTAAAATTCATCTGGAACCAGAAGAGACCTAGAATAGCAAAGGCAATTCTAAGCAGCAAAGGCAAGGCAGGAGGCATCACAATCCCTGACTTGAGGTTATATTACAAAGCAAGTGTAATAAAATCAACATGGTACTGGAATAAAAACAGAGCCAAAGATCACTGGAATAGATTAGAAGATACAACCACAACTACCAACATACTCAATCACCTTATCTTTAATAAAGGGCCAAACATGTTCACTGGAAGAATGACAGTCTCTGTAGTAAATGGTGCTGGAAAAACTGGCTCTCCACATGCCAAAAACTAAAACTAGACCTATGCCTATCACCATATACTAAACTAAAATCTAAATGGATTAAACATCTGAATATTAAAACAGAAACACTAAATCTGTTAGAAGATAAATTAGCTAAAAATCTTGAAGACTTAGGGGTAGGTAGAGAATTCATGAACAGGAATCAAACTGCATGGGGAATACTTCCCAGAATTAATAAATGGGATCACAGCTTATTAAAAAGTTTCTGCATGTCAAAAGAAATCTCCAGCATAATGAAAAGAAAACCCACAAAATGGGAAAAAATCTTAGTGAACTGTCCCTCAAACAAAGCACTTCTGTCTAAAACATATAAAGAATTTTTAAAAAATCAGACCCCCGAAAGTCAAAGACCCAATCCAAAAATGGGCATCTGAGATGAATACACAGTTCTCAGGTAAAGAAATACAAATACATGAAAAAATGTTCATCATCATCACTCATTAGAGAAATGCAAATTAAAACCACACTGAGATTCCATCTCATTCCTGAAAAAATGGCCAGGATCAAGAAAACTACCAACAACAAAGGCTGGAGACGCTGTGGGGAAAAGGAAACTCTCCTGCACTGTTGGTGGGAGTGTAGACTGGTGTGCAGCCATTGTGGAGGTCAGTCTGGAGATTTCTCAAAAAGCTGGGATTGGAAGTCCCATTTGTTCCAGCTATTCCACTTCTAGGCATATTCCCGGAAGAACTGAAAGCATCAGACCACAGTGATATATGTGCACCCATGTTTATAGCAGCACAATTTGTAATAGCCAGATTTTGGAAGCAAGTGTCCATCAACTGAGGAATGGATAAAAAAGCTGTGGTATTTTTATACAATGGAGTACTACTCAGCTATAAATAATGATCACATTGAGATATTTACAAATAAATGGACACCACTTGAGACCATACTCATAAGTGAAATAAATCAAACTCACATATATAAATACCGTATAGTCTCCCTAGTGTAAGAAATGGTAAGAGTACATAAGAGTTTATAGTAATCATGATTCCCCATTACATTGCTCTGAAACCTTATAATGTCTGCATTCATTAGTTGGAATGGTTTTATTCTACTTTGTTTGATTTTATTATTTGTGATAGTATAAACAGCTATTTTACAGCAAAGAAGACATTAGAAGACTTACTCTGAAGTCCTACCATGCTTTTGTTTTTCTGTTGCCTTTGGTTCTATCCTGTTAAATCTTATTGGATATTATTATGTGTGGTAGTACAAACAAATTTTCTATGGAAATTGAGATAATATAGTAGCCACTGTTCATTCTCTACTATTTGGTTTTGGAAGTCGTGTAATGCTTTTATTCTCTTGAATGGTTTTGTACTATTTTGTTATGCTTTATACTATCATATATGAAGCTATGCTCAACTGTTTCAAAGCAAGAGACATTACGGTAGTTACTGTTAATTATGGGTTGCCTTGTGGTAAAATGCTGTGTTATTTGCATTTTCTGATCTGATCTGCTTTGTTATGTCCTCTTTTGTCTTAATCTCTTTAAAATAAAAAAAAAAATTTAAAAAACAGCCAAATATCAATGCCCTCTGGAGACCTTTGATGTTGGTCACTCCCCCAGCCGCTAGCTTGGAACAGTCAGCTGTGTATGAGTTCTAACAAGAACAGAAGTTACTGCAGAAGTGGGTGCTTGCATGGGAATAATGCAGAGACCCAGAGGCAAAGTGCACTTGCTCAACCACCAAAATCTCTTCATGAGGCTGCATCTCGGGTTTTCTAGCTAGACATGAGCATGCTCATCTCAGGATTATTTACTTCTTCTGAGGCATATTGTCAATAATAACCCAATACTTACAACAGAACATCTTGAAACTCCATGTGATTACGTGCCACCAAGAAGGCACCAAACCGGAAACAAGCAGCATAAGAAAAATACATCATGGCCTGGGTGAAGGCAAAGGTGATTCCAAAGATGTGTGCTTTCCGTAAAGAGTTTCTGAAAAAAATAAATTTGAAAACTTACTGTGGATCATTTCTTAGTCCTTAAAATGTAACTTTCATGGTTGACAGTGAAGCACAAAAGCATGACAGACACAAATAGGTTTCATCTCCAAAGGACTGTTTTGTTGTCATTTTACTTTCCACTGGGTGAATTAGTTAGGTGCCTCAACTCTGAGGTTTAGTGTCTTCACGCTTAGTGAAGGATTAACTGCATCTCTATGCATTGATGTGGGGAGGTACTAAGCCTATGAAATCTATATAGAACCTCTTAGGAATTAACAAGTGCAAGTCCCCTTCATTTCCCAGACGACTCAACATTCATGTGTTAACATTCACTCCACACATTTATCCTACACCTACAAACTGAAGGTACTGTATCGTGTGACACCAAGAAATAGGGGTGTTCTTGCTTTGCGGGGTATTGACTGGATATTTAGGCAGTGGAGGTACAATACCTTATGAGTAAACCCTGGAAGCAGAAAGAAACACTTGATTCTTTGGGGGACTTACTGCAATTTTCATTGCAAAAGAACCGAGACTAGGTTTTCTGAGGGATGTGAACCAGTGATGTGGCAGTGTGGGTAGGAAGATGTTGGTAAACGAGCAGCTCTCTGTGTTCAGACTCACTTCTGAACCCAGGGTTTGCTCGTATTCACACCACTTACGGAAGCCCTCACTGTGATGGCTGTGGTAGAGGAAGGGCAGAAAGTCCCCACCAGAGGAGAGGAGAGAAGTCGCATGGATACCCAGGAAATGCCACTCCAAGGTGCACTGACTTCAGCTTACATGACCACAAAGAACCTGCATCCCCAGCTAGAACAAATGGGGCTCACAATCGCAACAGGGCCCAGGGATTCATCCTCAGCATCCTCTTCCCCTCCACTCCTACCTCCTATCAGCTGTTTCACATTCCACCTCAGAGATGCACTTGACTCATCAGGGTCTCAACACTCCTCCCTTGATTAAGTACAAGCATTTCCCATGCGTGCCCCACCTCCTGGGCAAAGTAAGTCTTCTGAAAGCAACTCTGTTAACTGCAAACCTCCTCAGACTAACCTCCCGATCTGCAGTGCCTTTTACCTGTATGGCACCCGCAAGCTCTGCCCATACATGTGTTCAAACTTCTCCTCTCGAGTCAGAGACACGACGGTTCGGAAGTTTTCTATTGCTTCGGTAGCGATCTGTAACAGATATCACCCATGGCCAATAGGCACAGGGCAAACAGGAGCAGTTAGTTCTAATTCTGTAAAACAACTGAATAAGATTAGTTTTATGATTACACATTATTTATTTATCGTTTAGTATTTCCAATGTGTACCTTCTTTATGGAAAAAGACACTAAGTAACATCAAACTTCAGGGAGATCAACCGATATAAACCTTCCCTCTGCACAGGAAGAGAAGCCCAGGCTTAAATGGATGAAGGTGCTTGCCTAAAACCACACAGCTTTACAAAACTGAGCTGGGAACTCAGCATTTTACATTGTTTGCAGTGTTCTTTCTTCTACCACGGTCACTTTTTAAGTGTACGGGCACAGTTACTTTACATATTTTTAAATGTGACTCTATTTTATCTTTCTAATTGCTTTTCAGAACAACTCAATAATATCTGAAAAATGTTGAAAATTTGTTTTCAATAAAGCAATAAAAAGTTACATATTAGTGTATTCTATGCATAATATACTATTTTTTCTTAAAGCATACACATCACACGTGTGTGTGTGTGTGTGTGTGTGTGTTTCTGAAGAATGAACCCATGCTAGGTAAGTGCTGTACCAGTGAGCTATAGCTCCAGACTCATTTATTTTTGTTTGTTTTTGTGGTACTGAGTAAGAAGTATCTACCACTAGATCTACCACCTTGTTACATTCCTAGCCCTTCGTATTTTTTATTTGGAGACAAGGTCTTACTAACTTATCCAATTTTCTTCTAACTTAGCATCCTTCTTTTTCAGGCTCCTCAGTAGTTGAGATGTCAGTGGGTGCCACTGTATGTGGGTTACACATTTAGCCGAATCCTGCATTGGGTTGTTTTTCATTTTGTGCCTTAACAAATATTAAGACCACTCCACAGTCACTAAATATACATTAATAGTGGATTTTAATGGTCACATAATATTCCAGTTAGGTATTCCTTTATTCTTAGAAATGTTTCTTTGTTTCTTAATAATAACATTGTGATTAATATTTTCTACTATAATATTCAGCCATATTAAATGATTTTTAGGAAATGTTCTAAACACTGAAATAATTAGGCCAGATAGAACAAACTAATTGAGAAACATGGCACATATTAACAGTTTTTCCCCAAAAAGTTTCTGTTGCTTAATTATGTCCCACTTGTGGGTTATTTTCAACAAATCTACTCAACTGGGACAAATTACTCTGTACCTTTTCAAGCTGGCTAACTTCAAAAGCTGGAAAGTGCAAAGAACAGTAGAGCTTGCAATGTGGCAACCTCTCCCTTATTCATTAAAAATTATTTAATTTTTTTTCTTTTTTAAGCTAAGGGGAAAAGATCAAAAAAACTAGCAGGATATATTTTAGTAACCTTCTTGATTTACTATTAACTTGATTTGAAGTTCTGTAATACTCCCACTATCTTGTTTTGACTGATTAGACTCTGTTCCATTCTGTATGAATAAGGGAGCGGTTGAGATAAAAGAGGGCTTAACAACATAACAATACAGGTCAAAGCATAACAGTTTCAGCAACCTAGTGCTTCACCACCAAATAACCCGACTTAATAGTAGTTACCATAGTGTCTTTTTCCTTGAAATATTTGAATATAACTTCATATGCTATAGCATCAAACATATCAAGACAGTGTAACACCATTCAAGTGGATGAAAGCATTGTAGAGTATTTAGAACCAGCTAACAGAAAAATGAACAATGGTTTCTATATTGTCTCTTTGCCTAGAACAATTTTTGTTTATACTACCACATATGATAAAATCCAGCAAGATACAACATGATAAAACCAATGGAGACAGAAGAGCCATAGTTTGGTGGGGCTTTAAAACAAGATGGCATTAAATCAGCACTAGCTATTATGATGTCTTGTTTTCTTCAAAATAGCTGTTCATTGGATCACAGGCCATAATATCGAACAGCCCAGAATAAAGCCATTCCAATTAATGAGTGAAAACTTTATAAGGCTTCAAGGCCACATAATGGGGAATCATGGTTACCCATACTTTTATATATTTGAATCATTTCCTACACTAGGGAAACTATTTGGTGTTCACAGATGCGAGTTTGATTTATTTCACTTATGAGTATGGTTTCAAGCTGTACCCATTTATTGATAAATATCTCAATGTGATCCTTCTTTATAGCTGAGTAGTACTCCATTGTATAGAAATACCACAACTTTTTTATCCATTCCTCAGTTGATGGACACTTGGGTTGTTTCCAAGATCTGGCGATTACAAATTGTGCTGCTATAAACATAGGTGCACATATATCACTTGATTGAAGGTGAAAAATATACCTTCAATCAAATGCCTCCAATGAAAATCCTTGTTCATATTTATTAGACATATTTTTAAATATAAGCATTCAAACAGAGAACAGAGGTTCTCTGGACTACTAAAAACACTAAACAAACCATAGCAGTGTCTGCTAAAAAACAGCTTTTGTGATATAGGTGCACATAGGTGTGGTATGATGCTTTCAGTTCTTCTGGGAATATGCCTAGAAGTGGAATAGCTGCAACAAATGGGACTTCCAATCCCAGCTTTTTGAGAAATCTCCAGACTGACCTCCACAAAGGTTGTACCAGTCTACACTCCCACCAACAGTGCAGGAGAGTTCCTTTTTCCCCACAGCCTCTCCAGCACTTGTTGCTGGTTTTCTTGATCCTAGCCATTCTTTTAAGAATGAGATGGACTCTCAGTGTGGTTTTAATTTGCATTTCCCTAATGACCAATGATGATGAACATTTTTTTCATGTATTTATTTGCCATTTGTATTTCTTCATCTGAGAAGTGTGTATTCATCTCAGATGCCCATTTTTGGATTGGGTCTTTGAATTTCGGAGGTCTGAGTTTCTTTAATTCTTTATATGTTTTAGACAAAAGTCCCTTGTCTGAGGGGGAGTTCACTAAGATCTTTTCCCAGTTTGTGGGTTTTCTTTTCACTATGCTGGAGATTTTTTTTGACTTGCAGAAACTTTTTAATAAGAGGTGGTCCCAGTTATTGATTCTGGGAAGTATTTCCTGTGCGGTTTGAGTCCTGTTCATGAATTCTCTACCTACCCCTATGTCTTCAAGGTTTCTACCTAATTTGTCTTCCAATAGATTTAGTGTTTCTGTTTTAATATTCGTATCTTTGATTCATTTCGATTTTAATTTAGTACATGGTGATAGACATGGGTCTAGTTTTAGTTTTCGGCATATGGAGAGCTAGTTTTTCCAGCACCATTTATTAAAGAGACTGTCATTCTTCTAGCGAACCTGCTTGGCTCCTTTATCAAAGATAAGGTGGTTGAGTGTGTTTGTAGTTGTGGTTTTGTCTTCTAATCTATTCCATTGATCTTCAGCTAACAGCAAATACTTCATAAGACATTGTTAGCTTTGAATATTAGTCCAAAAGCTATTAGAAAAAAATTATAACACACTTAAAAATAAAACTTTCTTTAAAAAATTAAAAATAGTACTCTAAACCAGACATGGTGACACTCTGAAGGCTGAGGCAGGAGAATTTTAAGTTCAAGGTCATCCTGGGCTAATTCTGTATTGAACAAAAAATAATAATAATATTATCTGATCCAGACAATCCAAGAACACTGTACTATGTTTATCATAAGCTATTTAAAATGACAGGAAGATATCCAGAGATAATTTATGTTAAAATATTTTGTAATTTCTTTTACACAATGTTCTATATGGGAGATTGAATATGGAGCTTTTACAATGAGCTACATCTCCAGCTCTTTAAAAAAAAATTCTACTTGGAGACAGGAAAAAAATCCATTAACTCACTAAGTTGCTGAGGCTGGGTTCCAACTTGAAATCCTACTGCCTGGACAGGGATTTAGCTCAGTGGCACAAGTGCCTGCCTGGCAAGCACAAGGTTGTGAGTTTAAGACCAGGTATAAAAAAAAAAAAAGAAAAGAAAACAAAGAAAGAAATCCTAGTGCTTCAGCTTCCCAGAATACTAGGATTACAGTTGTGCACCATTATCCCCAGCTTTTAAAAACATATTTAATAAATTATATGCTCATTTTAAAATCCTAAAAATACAGAAAGTAAGACACTAGAGGGAAAAATATACCTTCAATCAAATGCCTCCAATGAAAATCCTTGTTCATATTTATTAGACATATTTTTAAATATAAGCATTCAAACAGAGAACAGAGGTTCTCTGGACTACTAAAAACACTAAACAAACCATAGCAGTGTCTGCTAAAAAACAGCTTTTGTGATGAATTTTAGCATAATGGTTTTAAGAAACATTTTCTGTGCATCATTTTCTAAGACAAGAGTTCTTGTGATGAATTTATAAATACCACTGCCTTTCTGTGTACAGTCCAATAAAATGAGAGTTAGAGACCTAGACCTCGCACAGTAAAGCAATATAATCACTTCACAAGATAGTCACTTCATCTTAATGCACAATGAAGCAATTAGAAAAGCTTCACTTATTCCAAGAGTTCCAAACAGGGATTCAGTGGTCACCAGAAGAAAGGTGAGTTTTTATATAAGGAGGAAATACCACTATTTATCCCAAAAAGCATCCTGTACTAAATACTTTTGGAGAAAAAATAAACAAGACTTTTTAAAACTTTTTTTTCATTAGTACACATTTGCAATACCCACTGAACACATACCTTGTGGGGAGTTGGCACCTATCGCAACAAATCTTAACCCTTTTCCTTTCCCCTTCCGCTCCTCTCGCCCTCTCTTTCTTCTCTGTATCCCTTTCCCATCTCCAAAATGCCTACCATCTTGTTTCCTATTGTCTATCTTTAAATTACTTCTCGTGCAAGGCTCTCTGAAAATGCAACAGTTCTGAGATTTAGTAAACATCAAAAGCCCAGCCACAGCAGATCGCAGGAGCCTGAAGCTCTAGGAATTGCATGAAGAACTGTGGCTGAGACTTGGAAGGATGAACACAGCAGTATCAGGCGAGAAAACCTCACAGTGGCCATGGACAGGGCTATGACCAGTTTTACAACTGGGGGAACGGATGAAGTTTATTCTAGCTGTGATAAGAAGCCATCAGAAGGAGTCAATGAACTGAGCATATTTATATTTTTGAGAGGTTAGATTGTCTTTGGTAAAAAGAATATAGAATATTGGTGAACAAGAGTGGATGGAAATATCAGGAGACTGTCTCTGTGAAACAGGATGGTGTCTGTGTGAACCTTGGGTTTTATTATGTGTTCAGTGGAGTTTACAGAGAGCCTTGTGTGAGAACCTGAGACTCATCACCAGATAAAGGCTGATTTTCATCGTATGTACCGCTTGGTGCCTCAGCCACCACTTTCCCCATCAGCCTCTGTCCCTCTCAAGAACCAGCACTGAGTTACTGCACTGATCATATTACTGATCTTCATTCTGGAAATCTGCCCTGGTCCACACCCATCTGCAACCCTCTCCTCATTCCTGATGTAATCTGGTCACAGCTTCAATGAATCAGTTTAGGATCTAAGATTCCTTTCTCACACAGTTCCAACACTTCCTTCAATAATGACACTACTGCAAAGTCATTCCTTCCTTCTCTTACATTTCCCCCTAGAGTTTACCGTATTCTCCTCAAGCGAAGAATCACACCATTGGAAGAATATACCCAAAGTATACTTTGAAATGGAGTTATCGACACAGGACTTTTCAGGCTGGGGCCAAGGTTGCCTGTTTCAGACCATAACTTAACCCAGGGTGCCAGCTCCACTCTGCAGATGGCTCAAAAAGACACTCACATGAGATGTCTATTTGGTTATTCTTCATTTTTTTGCCTTAATAAATATCAAGACATTTGGTGGTAAGCCCTGGAGCTAGTTCAAAGGATTTTCCCAGAACCACCCCAGGGCAGAGTCTGAGGAGATGCAGAAATGCCGAGGACAAAATATCTGAGATAAGGAACAACTTTGAGCACCTGCCTCGTCCTTCACTCAGTGAATGCCCCTGGCCCACCTGGGTCTGGATTCTGTCCTCACTCTGGGGGCCCAGACTGTCTGCTGCTAGATGTCTTACTACCTAGACATCAGGACCAGTTTTGAGGCCAGCCCTGTTTCTGACCTCTCATTTTTGCCATGACCCAGATCATGTGACATCAAATCATATTCTGCCATCGAGGGACTTGCTTGTGGTTTGTCTCACAGGAGCACAACTCCCTGAGCTTGAATCCTGGCTCCAGACTTACCAGCTCTCAGGCTCATGAGACGGACACTGAAAAGACAAAACCTACCTCGCAGGATCATGCTAAGGAGTAAAGCTTTTACAGGAAACACAGTGAACATCACGTAAGTATTGCTTAAACAACAAGAAACATTAAGCTTGTAGCAAAGTAAGTAGCAGAAGGAGAAATCGAGGTAAGATGAAGAAGGGTGCCATGATTTACGTGAAAGATGGACCGTCCATATTGAGTCTCCCCCTTCACAGGTAATAAAATTGTCCTACTTTCTCCACCAGCAAAGGAAAGAACTAAAGGAAGGAGGTGAGAACAGAGAAAGACAAGAGTCTAAGGACAGTGGCATGAAGTGTTAGTTTCTAATCTGTGCAATAGGTATTAAAGATATTTCTTTGAAAAATGGTTATCAAATCATTCTTGGAGCACAGTACTCAACTAACAGTGATAAGAATATCTTTCTCTTCATAGGTAGCAATCAGACTTAACTGGACTCACCTTCCCAGAACCTTCCAGCTCTTTCTTATCTTTGATTGCACTACCAGACAGCATTTTCATCTCAACGACTCCTGCTACGGCAATGATGGGAACAATTGCCAAGAGTAAAAGTGTCAACTGCCAGCCATAGATGAAGGAAATAATAATTCCTGTCCCAAGATTTGCTACATTTTGGGTAATCACAGCAAGCCTGGCACCGATAGCCTGAAAAGAAAAACAAATGAAAGACACAGAGTTATACTAGATTTAAAACCCATCCTCCTACATTCTTAAGCATGATGGTAACTCACTTTCCCAAATATCTGTTAATTATCATCTCAGTTATGAAATAAAAGTGAAGATTCACTTGAAGAAAGTTTACTGGGTTTCTAAAACAAAGATTTCCATGATTTCTAAATGAACGCTGATTCAGAGTTCATGGTACATTTCTCTCTTGATTTTTTTAAAAGAAAATCTTTATGATTCAAAGTCTCGTCACTAGAGTAAGTTCTACCAGTTAAAAAGATAAGAGTGTGACTATTACATTAAACTGGAAATGGTGCAACCTCCTAATGTTAGTCACATAACCGTTTATAAGGCTAGAGGTTTCCATTAAAGATATTCAACTATATCTGAACCTATTTGAACCACTTCCTATGTCTAATTTAACCTGGAATGGATTTGAAATGAATACATATAATAGAAAATTATCAAATTTAATTTGTGTCCAGCAGCCATTACAGCCTTCATTTCGAAGACCAGAGGGAGCCAGACCATTGCATTTGGCAGTGTGCAGTGACCATCAACTTGAAAGCCAGATGGCAAATTTGTGCCATTTGTAGGAAAATGGATGAATCTTGAAACTGTAATGTTAAGTGAAATGAATTAGATATACAAGCTCAAACATCACAAGGTTTCCTAAAGCATAAATAAATAGCAAATTAAAAGACAGTTAATGAAAGAGTAACGGAGAAAAATCTTTTGCAGATAGGAAGGGGATCAAGAGATGAAGGGAGGCGGAAGGATGGAGGTTAAGGGGATGCAAGCAGCATTAAGATGAGCATGTGCATGCACCAACTCCCTGCAGTGAGTAACCTGATGCACTGGAAACACAGACTGACAAAAGATTAAATAATACAAGGCAACTCCACAACACAACTTTTTAAAAAGTCACAAAGCCAGTTGCAGTTACCACTCGGCATTTCAGTCCTCCACATCCCTTCTACCCTGAAAATGCTCTGTGTCCCCAAACCATTGCAAATTCCTGCTCTGCTCTTCTCCTCTCCTAAAATTTCTTCTGCCCAAGTAGAGCTGGTCTCAGATAAGGATGCTGAAGTGCAATCTAACCAGTGCCATCACTGTGACTTTGCACAAATCCTTCCCAAGTAAGAACATCAGAAAGTATGTTAATAATCAAAGGTATGTACTCTGAATTCTGAGGAGAAATCCTTCCTAACTCCCCACATCAATGCCTCTAAGATCATTTCATATTTTTCTGACATAATCATTACAGTAACACTTAGTGAAAAAAAGGAGCTATAACCACAATTAGCCTTGAGATGCATTAAATTCCATAACTGACAGCTGCACTAGGGCTGAAAGAGATAGCAAAACTAATGAAGCACAATTAATTTTACCTGATACAATTACTCAGCCTACATCAAAGGGCTGTACTGCAAAATTCATCACAAGTCAGAGTACAATGATCTTCAGTGCCATCTCTCTGTGCTGCATCTTTTCTATGTGAAGGTCAAAGGACACAACCTGGAGAACTGGCATTGCAGGGATGGTGCAGGTTGCTCCTGTTCTCAGGTTCTACTAGTCTTTCTCCTAATTTAGCTCCTATCCTTAACCTTCATACAGATGTCAAGCTCTGCATGTAGTCAAAGATAAGAGAAATAAGCTAATTTTTCTTAATGTACAAGAAAGCTGAACTTAAAATATCCAGCACTTTATGCTTCAGGGTGACTGAGCCCCTTGGTTCTGCCTGACACCGCATTGGTGACCACTGCTTATTCTACAGCCTAACACTCAGTGTCTCACATCTATTCCAGTCAGTTGTCTCAACGACTTCTTCTCCTACTACTTTTTCCTCAAAACAGCATCACAGCACTGAAAATATAATTTAAAAGTATTCGTGCTAATTAGACTAAGACTCTATATCCTGAACTTCCTTCTGAGTTTAGGAATATCAAAATTCACCGTAACTTCAGCCTTGTTTCACAGAAAAACATAATTAAAAACCTAGCTGCTTTTGATTTGTATATGACTTTCCTTTGCCTTTAACTCTGCAGGACTTTGGACCACATCTCAAAATAAAATGAGAAAACCCAACACGACACAAGAAATGTGATGTGGCCCTGCCTTGTGCAGCATGGACTTATGACAGCATGGCTGCCACTGAACATTTTTACATTAAAACAAACTAATCATACTACTTCCCATTATGGAATATGGACAAACTCACACGTACACTCATGGGAGTCTCCATATACAGGTACATATGTACACATAGATACATATATAAGTATGCATATGTAGGTACAAACATCCTTGCTCCCTCCATACACACGCACACCAAATGTCCATGTTATTTACACACTTATACACAATCACAAACAGCCTGGTCACTGGCACCAACAACAGGGTAGAACTGTCATCTCTTGGCCAATCTGTGATACTCAGACTAGGATTTCCTCATTTAATGAATGTCACCAACCTGTTTAACCTCATGAACACCTTTAGCCACTGCTTTAACTTCTGGGAAACAGAAGCACATTCTGGGAATCTGCTTCAGATTGGTTCATACAAGAACTAAAATTAGAAATTTCATTTGACCCAATTATTGCCCTTCTAGGGATCTTCCTAAAAGAGTCAGACATCATATTGCAATGATCCACACATATCTATGTTTACAACAGCACAACTCATAATAATCAAACCTTGGAATCACACTATATGCCCATCAACAGAGGAATGGATAAAGGAAATGTGGAATTTACATGTAATGGAGTACTACCCTGCCATAAGATAAACTCGAGTCCTTTGTAGGAAAATAGATAAATTTTGAAACTATAATATTTAGTGAAATAAGTCAGAAACACAAGTTTAAATATCATATGAAAGATCATATGAAGCAGTGAAACAGATTTGTCTCACATGAGAAGGGGGTTGAAAACTAAAATTAGATGGAGAATTACTCAACTCTAAAGAAGGATAATCTTGAGGCTTTTATAGGTAAATGGAGGCAACTTGAAACAATGCTCATAAGTGAAATAAATCAAACTTACATGTGTAAATATTGCATTGTCTCCTTAGTATAAAATAACTGAAACAATAGTAAGATTCAAAATGTACAACAGATACTATGATAATGAAAGGATAAGAAAGTGCTCAAAAACAAAGAACAACTGGGATAGGAGAAAGGACAGCAGGAAGAAGGGGACAGGTTATATGTAAATAGGTATACACATATATGTATCACATATATATATATAAAATAGATAACTATACTACTAATCTCTGTTAGTTCATCAAAAAGAACAGTTTGTGCTTTCACTGTTTGACTGTTTGATCATTTTTTCATGCCTAGATCTTGTAACCTTAGCAACTACATCTAAGATAATAATATGTAATATATTAACTAGTGTTAATTTTCTACTACTTTTTTGAAATTCTATATCATTTCTACATTTTTTTAAAAAAAACTAAAATTAGAAATTCCATATGATCTAGCTATTCCTTTTCTAGGTCTCTTCCCTAAAGGGTTAAGGTCATCATGTTACAGTGCTATATATGTACCTAGAGTTAGAGCAGTATAATTCATAGTAGCTAAATCATGAAAGCAGCTTGTAGGCCAGCAACAGATGAATGGATAAAGAAAATGTAGTATCTTTGGCATACTCTGCTATAAAGAAGGATATGTTCAAGGCATTTGTAGGAAAATGGATGTACCTGGAAAATAAAGTGTTCAGTGAAATAAATCAGATACACAGCATAAATATTGGATAGTATCTCTCATTTGAGCAAGGTAAAGTACAAACGAAGAAAATAAAGGCTAAAAGACAGAAACAAGGTGATATATCTCTCACAAATGGAAAGGAGTTCAGGAGTCACAGGGGAGGACAGAAATGGTGGGAAGGGAAGTGAAAGCATTAAGATATACCACAGAGAGGTACCAAATACCACAATGAATGTAAATGCTGTATGTCATAAAATGAAGTAAGAATAATGATAACAAGAGTGAAAATGGGGAAGGAGGGTTTAGAGACTGAGGGAGAGCAGAGGGTGCAAGAGGATTTGAAAAAGAACCACGCTGTGTTATGTGCATGTACCCATTCCCCAAGAGGAATGTAAACTTCTTGTCCTGCAAACATGTGCTAACCAAATAGAAATGAAAAAGAGGGCTATAGATATTTTTCAAGAGAAAAGGAAATGGAGGGAAGAAGAGGAGAGAAAGGACATGAGAAAATGAACTAAGATGTGTCATATCCATGGACCAAACCCACACATGGGATGTAAACATCACGCACTGCACACAAGGGTGAGTAAGATTTCTTTAAAAGCAAGGTAGGCAGATGTCAACGTCTATGGGGTCATCGAAGCTGCAGATTGTGATGTCTCCAGGAAACAAGGGAAAAGCAGATGGTCCACACCAGCAGGTAGCTAGAGACTCAAGGAAATGCAAAGGGCCTAGCAATGACCCTGTGGAGAGAAAGGGCTCCCCCCAGTTTTACAAGCACAGGAAAACACTGTAGTATAAGACAAGTCTTAACTCCAGAAGACCTTAAGAAGTGGGAAGAAGTACAGCCTGGAGACCAAACCTATCCACAGCGATCACCATCCTAGCGAAATGGACTTCCCCCGAGACCACTTACCAATTCTCTAGATAATTAAAATAGAATTCCAGTTAACACTTTACTTTCCTGCTCCACCACAACCGCATTTCTCTGCCGCATTTAGCCGTCTTCTCACCATGGGTGCAGCTATACCTCCTTTCTCTTCCCTCCTTCGAGCCTTCTTCCCCTACTTTTGCTCCGACTACAGAAACATAAGCACTTCAGGATGCAAAATGTTCGCGCATCTTACAAGACTGTATTCTGTATTTGATAACCTAGGTGGCTTCCTCTTTGAAATACTTTCTTAGTTTTGTTTTCAGGACACTTCTCCTTCCTTGCCTACTCTCTCACACTGTTCTTTGCTGCTTCTTTTTTATGACTCTGACTGCAGATACAAGGCTAGTTGTTATCCACACACACTTCCTAGGCTATCCCATCCAGTGTCTTGGCTCTAAAAGTCACCACTGCACTGAAAAATCTCCAGACATACACTGTATTTCCAGACAAGACTTCTCTGCTAAGACTTCTCCAGACATACAAAAACATCCATATCTTTGTTTTCGGAGACAAGGTCTCACTATGTGGTTCAGGCTGGCCTCAAGTTCACTAGGTAGCCAAAGCTGACTTCGTAGTCCATGGCAATCCTCCTGCCTCTGCCTCCCAAGTGCTGGGATTATAGGTATACGCCACCATGTGTGGCCAACACCAACATCTTTAACATCTATTTCCATGTGGATTTCTAATATGGGCACCAAAAACAGACCATGTCCCTCTAAAAATGTTTTAAGTCTTCTTCAAGCTTATTTATACAACAGGTTTTCCAATGTCATCAAAGATTGATTCATTCTTTTAAATTCTGCAAGTCAAAAATTTAACAATCATCCTTAAATCCCTTTCCTCTCTGAATCTTTATTTAATGTAACCACCAAATTCTGTTAGGTTGTGCATTTAAAATACACCCAGAATTAACTACATGTTAATAAGGCACACCAATCTAACCCAGTCTCATCCTACTCTTGGATGACTGTAATAAACTGTCTGCCTGCACTGACATCTCCTTCAGCATCTTCACAGAACAGTCAGAGTGATCTTTTTAAAATTCCATCCCATTGGTCAAACCGTATGATGGCTTTTCATCACAGTTCTTTTTCTTCACTCACTGAAATCTACCCACTGTATCTGGGAACAATACCCAGATGCTCCAGATCCAGGCTTCTGCACTTGCTGATCTTCTCCAGACACACACGGAGATGGTACCTGTCTTCTCTCAGCCTTTTTTCCATATCACTGTCTGTGTGGCCTCTCTTCCTCAACTGTCAACCAGCTCTGCTCCACACCCTTCTATCATTTTCTCAGAGCACCTTTTGGTGATTTGGCAAACCTCGTAGATTTTATCAGGGTAAAACTGTTAGGTTTTTTAGAGAGATCAATGTGATTTCAAGCAGTGTCCATTTTTATTCTACTAGTTTTTATACAGCTTTATCTAAATCTTGATTTTTGTTGACATATTCCCTTTAAGCAAAGAAGCATGAAAAACAATTCTCAAGATATATGTTGCAAGTCTGCAGCTCTCTATGTGTTCCCACACTTATAATCTGATTTGTTCTTACAGAAGCCTCACCTATTATGCAGAAGAAATGTCAGATTACTGTAATGCTGTCTCACAAGACAACTAAAATATAGAGATGGACATGGTTTATGGTGGGGAGAGACCACAGAAGTCACATTTTTTCTCAAAATTTTACAACATTTTATAGCTTGAAACCATGAAAACTTGTAGTTGTAGAAGAAATTGTCACTTTAGCTAAAACTCAAAACCTCATGGTTTTATTATTTAAGGTTATTCCTCCTACACTTGTTTTCATATTTAATATGCTTTTCATTTGTTTCAACTATTTTTAGGAATATTTTCTCCTCTCACTTCTGAACTGTAATGCCCCTGAATTTTTCGACTGCAACTACACACATCCCACTTTCAGTAGCAATTACAATTTTTTTAATCAATTAAACACTAAAATACAATAACCCCTGAAAATTCTTCCCTACTGAAAACATGTCCTTTTTCATACATCTTCTCAGTAGTATGAACACATCAATAATGAAAGAGAGCGTGGAGAACCAGAAGCGGCAACCTGAGACCATGTTGGGACTTAGACAGCTGCACAAGAAGGCAATTTGCCCGCCGTCTTCGTAAGCACCCCTGGTGCCTGCCAGGAGAAGAACCAGTCAGCTGTTCCCATGAGCCTACAGGCGCGAGGGCTAAGAATCAACCCCTCCCCCCGCGGCCCCCCCTCAGCAACTGAGAACAGAATTCTGAGCATCTCTTGGGAGGATGACCATATGCAATATAGCAAATAAGGGGGATTTCCTTCTATGTTCTGTTTCAAGGCAAAGGTTATTTTCACTGTTATGTTTTGTAATGATTATTATGCTCTATTTAATATTCTCTTTCAATTGGTTTTACAATGGTTGTTTTTGGTTCGATTTCTCTATACCTAATTGACAGGACAATTATAGTACCTATTACCACTATCCCAGTATCCTGCTTTGAAGTTCTGTACCAATGGCATTGCATTGTCTCGATTGGTTTTATTTTGTTCTGTTGTATTTTTACTTACAAGCTTACAAGCTACATTGTATAGTAAATGATGTTTAGAAAACATTTTTGTTATTCATTATGACATATTTATGGGTTTGATGTCTATTTTCTTAATGATGATAACACCTGTTGTGAGAAAATTAGCATTATGACAAAGTTCAAATTGAAATTAATCCAATCACAAACAGGGAGGAGGCACATACCCCTTTTACTTGAGCAGCATCATTAGCAAGCCTGGTAGTCAGTGCTCCTGTGGTGTTTTTAGGGTCATCAAACCAGCTCACATCCTGTTACAGAAGAGAGATTTTTATCACATTAAAACTCTACTTATGAGACTCACAGCTCCAGAAGGAAACTGACATGGTCAGTTTTGTTTCTCACTCATATCCCCTGCATTTGACACTCAGGATTTACTGTTTAATATACCACAAAGAGAATAAATACATAAGGCATCAACACATTTTTTCATTTCTCAAGTATTTTCTTGGTCAGAAGGAAAAAAAATGGCTATTACAAACTGGTAAAGGGAATAATTCAACAGGAATAGACCATGATTATAAATATATATATACCAAATGTTGGTGTACATACAATATCATAGCACAAAAAACACTGAACATAAAACTACAGCCTCCAATGCCATCATAGTGGAACATTTTTCAATACTTGGTCTCACAAATAGGCCAACTTCACAAAAATCAACAAAGAAATATCAGGGTTAAATCACACCATGGAGCCAATGGATTTAATAGGTATGTACAAAATTTTCATCCAATAAAAACAAAATATACATCTTTCTCAGCAGCACATGAAAGTTTTTCAAAAACAGGCAGTATCTTAGGCCATGAAGTATCCTTACAGATACAAAATGTAGGTACAATACTAGCCTTTTTACTATTGGATCATAGTGGAAAGAAACTAGAAATCAACAGCTAGAAACTCTACAGAAACTACACAAACACATGGAAATTAAATAATATTATTAAATAATCGATGGGGGCTGGGTGTATGGCTCAGTGTCATAACACCTGGCAGGTTCTATGTTTAATTCCCAGCACCAAAAAACAAAAAACAAACAAACAAAAAAATTAGTGGATCACAGAACGAATCATGGGAACAAGTTAAAAATTCCTACAGTTGAATAGGAATAAAAACATATCAAAATGACAAGTAAAACAAATCAAAATCTATATAACACAGAGAAAGCATTACTGAGAAGGAAGTTTATAGCTGTGAATGCATGCATTAAAAGAATATGGTAATCCCCACCACATAGCCCAATGACGCATCTCAAAGTCCTAAAAAAAACCAACAATAATAAAAATCCAAAACTAGTAGAAGGGAAGAAATTAAAATGATCAGGGAAGAAATAATGAAATTGATACTAAAATAATACAATACAATGGATTAATGAATAAAAAATTGCTTCATTGAAATAATAAACAAGATTTATAAACTCTTAGCCAAACTCAGTAAAAGAAAAGAAAGATGAACCCCATATCCATGCAAAGAGAAATGAAGTTGAAATTAAAATGTACCCCACTCAAATCCAGAGAACTGTAAGAAACTATTTAAATAACTTGCATTCCCATATATTGGAGATGCTCAAAGAAACACATAAATTACATAAAATTGAACCAAGAATATATAAATTGCCTGAACAGACCTGTAGCAGCAAATTAAATAGAGGCAGCAATAAAAACCCTACCAACTAAGAAATGCCCAGGACCTAATGAATTCATTGCAGCCTTCTAGCAAAAAATGAGGGAACACTTAAGGGCAATGCTCCTCCAATACTCCCATGAAACTAAAAGAGAAGGAACCCTGCAAATTCATTCCTGAAGCAAGGGTCATACTCATGCCCAAAGTAGACAAGGTCCTCACGAAAAAAGAAAACTATGCACCAATTTCTTTAATGAGTATAGATGCAAAAATCTTCAAGAAGATATTAGCAAAAAAAATGCAACAAATCATTAAAAAGATCACATACCACGATGAAGGAATGAAAGGCTTAAATCAGTAAACACAAAACATCGCACTAACAGAAGCAAGGACAAGAATCACATCATCATTTCATTATCGCAGAAAGAGTCTTTGACAAAAATACAACATTCAGTCAACTCTGATGAAAACTTTCTCAATGTGAAAGTCATTCATGAAAAACCCACTAGCAATGTCATACTAAGAAAAGAAAAATGGAAAGCATGTCCTCTAAAATCAGGAACGAGATAAGAGTGTCAACTCTCATATCCCTGTTTGATATCTTACTTGAAAATTTAGTGAGAGAAATTAAGCTAGATAAAGAAATAAAAGAGATATATGTAGGAAAGAAAGAAGTCAAATGATCCTTATTTGCAGGTGACATGATCCTTTGTATAGAAGACCCAAAAACCTCCACCAATAGACTCCTAGAACTAATAAATTCAGCTAAGCAGCAAGACTCAAAATCGATACACAAATTAGTAACACTCCTGTACATAAACAATGAAAGAAAGACATCAGGAAAACAATCCCATTCCCAATAGCCACACCAAGAATTAACCTAATCAAGGAAGTGAAAGACCTCTATAACAGAAACTATTCTACTTTGAAAAAAGACATTGAGAATATCAGCAAACAGAAAGCCATCTCTTCTTCCTGGACAGGCAAAATCAATGTTGTCAAAATTGTCATACTACCAAAATGATACATAGATTTAACATAATACCAATAAAAAAGCATTCTTCACAGAACTAGAAAAAAATCCTAGAATTCATGTGGAGCTAGAGGAGACTCAGAATAGCAAAAGTAACCTGAGCAACAAGAGCAAAGCAAGAAGCATTAAAAACCCAGACCTCAAACTCTATTGCAAAGCTATCATGATTTTAAAACACACACACACACACACACACACACAAAAAAAAAAAAAAAAAAAAAAAACAGGATATCAGAAAAGAAAAAAAACACGGATATAAACAGAGAATGCAGAAACACTCCAGGCACTTTTAGCCGACTAATCTTTGAAGAGGGGCTAAAAACATATTCTGGAGGAAAACAGCCTCTTTAACAGATGGTGCTAGGCAAAGTGGTTATCCATGTGCAGAAGAATGAACCTAGACCCTTATCTCTCACCCTGTACTAACAGAAAAGCAAAACGGATCAAAGATCTAGATATAAAATAGAAATGAATTGGAAGATAATTCAACTGTTAGGCTGCTAGTAGCCAAAAAAGACTACGTGAATTTGTAAAAGGTGCTTTTTATCTCCTTAAATTTCTAACTTGTGTAGCTCTCTCACACTTAAACAATGGTCTAAAGGCTGGGGTATATATTGAGGCACAAAGGCATACAACATAGAGTTCTAGTATAATAGCAGTTGTTAGTGCTGAGATTTAAGAAGTGGGTGGATGCGCACATCATGTTGGCCTTTAGATAATTGTAAAAATTCCAGTCTTCACCTTGAGATATACATATATTTGGCAGGTTGGGGACAAGAGGATGTGGTCTAACTTGTATTTTAGAAGAAAAACTCTGCTTGTTATGAGGTGAACTTACTGAATCCAAATGAGGTTGGAGGCAATGAAACTGGCTACGAGGTTATTGCAACATTAGGCACAGAGAGAGTCACCAAGGTTTTCAACCTCGATGGTTTATACAATGGTGTCATCATTCACTGATAAACACAGAGTCAGCAGTACAGGGAGATAAGACTGAAAAGTTCAAGTTCAAATTGAAAATAGTAAACTATGAAGCATTTACTAAAGATCCAAATAAAGAAAGTGCACAAACAGTAGGGGACCTGTAGTTTAGGGAAAAACAAATAAATAGGGTTAAAAACATATGCAAAAAACACATCTAGATTAAAATGTGACATTCAACATGAAATAGGATTTTCTTTGTAAAACTGTTTATACTTTTAATACCCAAATACAAAATTGTAAATCTGAAGTAAATCTGTCACAAATACCTATGATCTCTCAGCAGCTAAGCTGAACTGATGATTTGCATTAAAGTAGTAGCTTATCATTTTATAGCACATATAAATTGGCTTTTTAGTGTTCTCGAGTGCTTAATTTTCTCCTCACTAGAAAGTAACTTACTCTAGGACAGACATAATTCAAAGTAGACACTTTACAAACAGTAACATGCCTGGCAGATAGAAGGCCTTAATATGTTTTTCCTACTTAACAACTTATGGAGAGGGCATCACACGGTGCCAGCTCTGCTCTCAGAGTACACTGGACCTAGACCCTGGCCTTGAGGCGAGCAAGATAAGGCGATAGTTGGCCCTGCTTCAGCCCAAGTGGAATTACAATTATAAACGTGGTTAGATCTAAAGAGACCAGGGCAGGGTCCCCTCGCTCAGCAGAATCAGTCCTGGCTCTAAACATCACTAGCTCAAATTCTCCAGCATGAAGTTTTAGCTGGTGGTAGAAAGATAGGAGACAGCCACACAGCCACGTGCATCTGGGAAAATATGGCTGTCCCCTGAAAATCTTACCAAAACAAACTAATGTTTCCTGCCTGGGGTTCTGGCACCCATCTGGGGCAAAATTCCAGTGAATCATTTTATGCAACAGCAAGTGCTTAAGGAATCTTAAAATGAAAGTGATTAAATTGTATATAAAACTTTCTTGATTATTAAACAAACTTCCCTCTTTGAATATAAATTCTGAGTAACATTCTCCAAATCTTCTGTGTCTTCCCCCTCTTTCATCTCCCTCTCTCTGTCTCCCTCTGTTTCTCTGTCTCTCTCTCTCTTTTCTGTCCTGGAAAATGAGCCCTAGGCCTTTGCAATGAGCTACATCCCCAGCCCTTTTTTATCTTTATATTTTTATTTTAAGACAGGGTCTCACCCAGTCACAAAGTTGCCCAAGCTGGGCTTGAATTTATAAGTCTTAACCTCCCAGAGGCCTGGGATTAAAGGGATGCACACACCACCACACCCAGCACACCCCATTTCCCAGTCTAAAGAACATTATCTATTGTTAGGGTTGCAAAGGTCAGCCTGTGAGAACCATTCCATCAAGTCATTTCAAGCTAGTAACACTCCAGCTGGAATTCGTATGGTAGTCTACTAATTCAAAGACACTGGGAAGTGAGAGATGAGCCATGGTTTGGATTTGTGGAGTGGAAGAATACAGAATATATCTCTTGTGGGCAAGAAACAAGATGAAGGATTCTGAGTTTTTGAGGGGAAGAGGAAAGAAAGACAGAGGGAGAAAGGAGTGTGGGAATGAAGATCATCTTTGCCTACATTCCCTATAAATGCTAAAACAAAAGTTGGAGGTGAATCCAGTCAGGAGACCCTGTTTGTCAAAGCAGGACCAGCCCTTGTGTTCTCCTGCAGTCAATAGGCTGTGGGACTTCAGCCCCATCACAGAGAAGACACTGACAGTCAAGCAACATAGGCACCAGGCCCAGCGGCCTGACAAGAGCTCTACCACCGACATCCTGGGCACCAGGGGGAGTCCCGCACATCCAGGGCTCAACCCTCAGCACACTTGCCTGTCTCAGCATGGACCTGAAAACCAGGTATCGTAGCCGCTTGGTGAGAATCTCTCCAGCTTTGCCAAATGTGAAGCCCTATGAAGAAAAAAAACAGGTTACCCAGGAGGACTGTCAGAGACTCAGCCACCAATTGTAAGGTGAAGTGATGAGAGATTTATTACAATTGTATTCTCTGTCCCCCACTTTAAGCCCTACTTGTTTCCCCAGTGGACATGGGTCTATCACTCAGGAAGCTGGAGGTGTAGCCCAGGCAGGGGACACTGGAAACAGGGTTCCCACACACATCATCTACCTTGGGACACTTGTGAAAATGAAAAGTTCTATTAAGAGGGGTCTTGTTATACAAGAAGTAATAATGTAATCTCAGAAAACAGGAAATCATGGTCACCTCAGTCTTTAAAAGATATAGAGTAAAGGTATTAAACTCTTAGTTTGCTAGTGGATAAAAGCCAAAATCTGGGTGTCAGGTAAATGTAAAAAGTATCCTCTGCATAAATCTGCAAGTGAGAGGAGATACAAGTGAGAAATGAGAAGCCATATTCCAAAGAGAGAAAGAGCTGCAGGAATCAAAAAGAAGTGGCAGAAAACCTAAAAATCAGAAAGACCACAGAAATGCAAGGCAGTGAAAAGTATGATGCAGTCAGCAATGCCGACCCAGCTACTGGCAGTCGGCAGTTCAGCTCTTCAAGTACAAGGTAAGCATGGAGGCTCCAGTGACAAACAGTGAACCAGCAGCCCCCGACAGAAGAAACCCAAGGTTGCTGCAATCTGTAAATCAAGAGTTAGAATTTAGTCTGAAAGGGACTGCTCTATATTGGCAGGCTAGCTTTGGAGAAGGGATCCATGGCAGCACTGGCCATATTTTGCCATGGTATAGCCAGAACTCATCACGAATGGGAGCTTATTGTTTGCAATTGAACTATTCAGGGGATCAGAAGTCACAGAACAACAGTACTCCAAGGTCCTTGGGGACACAATGTGTCAGTGACAATACTGAATCTCAAATTATTCTGCAAAGTTATACTAACCAAACTGGGGTGGTAAAGGTACAAACACAGACAGACACACATGCCAATGGAATAGAACAGAGGAGGCAGAAACAAACCTACAAAACTAAAACAAAAACAAAAACATGCAAGGTGCAACTTAGTAAAAGAATGAATATAATAAAGGACACATTGTCATTAATGCCTCTCAAACACTTCCCTTCACTTTGGACACACTTATCCCATTGTTCTTGCCACCTCCTCAGTCGGTGGTGGAAGCACCTCTTTTGTGAATGTCTTTAGTTGTGCTCTCACAGCTGCCTCGATGTCCTGAGTTGATTCAAAACAATTACCCTTCCTGGCCATTTTGACGCTGGAGAAGATCCAGAAGCTGCAGAATACCAGATGCAGTGAATAAGGTGGTGGAAAGCACATCATGTTTTCATGAGCCTGCCTTTGCTTTGGATGGCTCTCACCAGCAGCCTTCAACATACTTCTGATTATACCTCGTAATTTAGAAAGCAACAAGAATGATGGGATGAGATGTCTAAAGTGGGGAGTGTATTTTGAGCAACTACTGGCACTGTCTTTCAATGTAATAAAATTTGTGTAACTTAAACATGCGCTGTATTTTTCAATCACCACTGTACACTGAAGAAAAGATAGTTTCTATGACAATCGCTGCTGGAAAACCCAAGTATCCACATGTAAAAGATAGAAGCTAGATCTTATTCATGCCCGGTATAAAAACCAATTCAAAATGGGTAACAGCAAATTATAACATCTAAAAGTCTGAAACTGATGAATAAAAACATAGGGAAAAAAATTGAAATCATGGGCACAGGCAAAGAGGTTCTGAATAGGACTCTGATAAACAGTTAAATAATAGCAAGAGTCCACATACTGTACTACATTAAATGTAAAGTTTCTGAAAAAAAAATGTAAAGTTTCTGAACAGGAAAAAAAATCATAGTGAAGAGCCAGTCTATAGAGCAGAAGAAAAATTTTGCCAGTTACTCTTCAGATAGAGGCTTAGTATCTAGAATATATAAACTCTCAAAAAAATTTAGCATCAAAAGAGGGGACACTCGCTGGGGATTTAGCTCAGTGGCATAAGTGCCTGCCTGGAAAGCGCAAGGTCGCAGGCTTGATCCCGGTACTGCAAAAAAAAAAAAAAAAAAAAAAGGACAAGCAGGGAAGAGGAAGTAAAAAGAATTAAGATGTGTTATATTCATGTACTAACTACCCTGATGAATGTAATCATCATGTACTGCAAACACGCTAATTAAATTTAAAAATAGATGAAATTCTTTTTTCTCCTTTGTTATTTTCAGGTCTATTGTCACAAGGACAGAAAGCTAACACACTATGTGCAATACCAAACCTACAATTCCTTACCTTACTTAACTTTCTTCATTGTTTTATTTCAGCCAAATGATATGTAAACTGTAAAAGCTGAATCTATAAATAGTTGCTACAGTTTTAATTTGAGGATTGCTATTCTTCCTTTATTAAACAAATTATTTTCCTTTGGTAAATATCGAGTGAGGGAATTTTATATGTTGTTTTTAAGACACAGGAACACAAAACTGCACATATCCAGGGCTCCCCCAAAGCCATTTTTCACTCTCCACCTTTGCTTCCCATCTTAGACACAGGCAAACAATCTATGCCCTCTGATTACATCACTATTTCCACATAGGGAGGGACAAGAGGAAGACAGAGAACAGGAAACAACTAACAGCCAAGTTTCCAGAGGGGACAATTCAACTACAAGGGAAATTAAACAGATGTTCACAAATTCCCCCAAAATGAGCAAAGTAAAAATATAGACATTTACCTGAAGGAAAAAGGTAACAAAAGAGACAATTCCAAGGATTAGAAACAACAGTGAAAACAGATGACTGTTCTGACGTTTTGTTTCAACATCATCGGGTCTTGCAAAAATCTATGAAGAAAATAGTTAAAAGTATTAGTTTAATTGTACTGCCTGTGACCCATTTCTTCTATGGCAGGGTTTTGGGATGGGAAGAGCCTTAGAATACTGGAAATGGGAAGGGGTCTACCTAATGCTAGTTTCCATGGCATCTACCTTTATTCTACTTTCCTTAGAGACCAAGAGAGACTCACTGTCCTTCACACACTGATCCAACGCCTCTCCTGCTCAGGTAACCCCTTATTACTGAATGGCACCGCAGTGTGTAAAGTAGAACATGTTTCAAACATGTTTCTCTTCCCTTGCTAAGAATCGTATTGCATAGCCATTCACTAGGGATATTTCAAACTAGTTCAAGGTATGTAGAGAAAATCTGGCGAACACAAAGAGGTGCTCATTCACTCAGCCCTGGTTTTTCAAAAAGAAAGGAGGTCCTGAGCCAGCATTACTGGTACGATGGCCAGATAGAGAGCCAATTGGGAACAGCCAGCTGGCCTAGTGCCATTCATGGGAACCTTTCTAGAAGACAATTAGCAGAGCTACAAAATGTCTTGGGTTCAAAGAAAACTGTCAGCAACCTATATATCCTTTCACAGAGCCAAACTCTGACTTGTGAGATGCAATCCTAACCCAACCCTAACTTCATATCTTGTTTTAAAAATGATTTTAGAAAAAAATTAATTTTTCTGGACTAGTCATTTCAAAACAAAAATAACAGCAAAAGATCACTGTATTCTTATTCTGTACCAGGCATTACTCTAAACAAATTCATGTGTACTGTTCCTTTCATTCTCACAACCATCTCTGGAAGTTCCATTTTGCAGAGAGAAATTACAATAAGAGTCATGCATTATCTTCCTCAAGATAACAGAGCCAGCAAGGAATCACACATGGATACAGAGCCAAGTGATCCGCACAAATTCCACTCTCTACCACGGAATGGATCCACCAACCCATCTACCTAGGGGACCTAGATTCAAACCTGGATCACCAACATCCAGTCTACGTTTGCAATACAAACCACATGGCCTGAAAACATAAAAGATTTGCTCTCTTCCCTGTTCTAGAGTATGTGCTCCACAGGACCAGACATTTTGGGCCTTGGTACTTTCTCAGTATATAAAAAATACCGAGCACAAAGCAGATGCTGGGTTTCCTGTTCCTGCCACCATTGAGTTCTAAGCAAAAGCCTTGAACTCTCACCTCACGAATGTGCAAATGGGCCCCCTCATGTGTCTGGCAGACTTGTTTAAGAATGAGATTTTTGCAACATACACACTTGCCAGGGGTAATTCCTGATCTAGCAAGTCACCTAAGTGTGTATGTTATAAAAAACAGGACAAAGAAGGTTTTCCAAAGTTAGTTTCTTCTCACAAACTAGACTTCTATTCTTTTGCTTTCATACGAAGGGTCATGTTTTTTGCCACTGCATGTAGGAGTACAAATACAAACAGTCCAATCATTCCTCCATCAGGACTCACAAGCAAATACAAAGAGCAGACAGAAGCAGTTACCCCTATAATCCTTGAAAATATCACTGCAAATGCTGGTTGCAGGCCTCCGTTTATAATGGCACAAATCACGCCCACCACAAAATAAGGCCATTCTGTTAAATTCAGCTTTAGAATCCTCCAAAAGGAAACTGGAGGTACATTTTCAACCTAGAAAACATAAAACGTTACAACAAGCTTGTTTTTAAAAAGTCAATAGTTGATTTTATGATGTATAATTCTACCATACACCCAAATTTTAAAAAATAAATTATTCTGCCCCTCTCTGACAAGCAGTGGCAGTGTGGCAGACTGCAGCTCTTCCAGGGGGAGAACCAGTAGTGTCTCCTGAGATCCACGCCATGTTGGAACTTAGGACACTGGGAAGCCAAGCAAGCACCTCCCCTCCCTGGTAAGTGGTGGTGGTCTGGCAAACTATGGCCCTTCCAGGGGGAGAACCAGCAGTGTCTCCTGAGATCCACGCCATGTTGGAACTTAGGATGCTGTGAAACCAAACAACCAGCCTGCCTCCTTGCTAAGCAATAGTGAACCTACTGATGCTGATGCACTGCCTAGAACCAAATATCCCATTCCCCTATCCCCCTTGTCTTCCCTGCCCCACCCCCACTGCCACCCATTACCAAATGAGAACCAGAAATCTGAGTGTCTCCTGGGAGGTTGACATAGCAAATAAGGGGGACTTCCTTCTACCATCTCTTTGAAGGCAAATATTTTTATTACTGTTTTACTCTTTTCTGATTAATGGTACTGCTCTATGCAATATTCTGTTTTAATAAGTTCTATAGTGTTCTATATTTCATCTCATTTTGATATACGTGATTGAAAGAACAACTATTATAAAGATAACAAAACATACTGTGATACCTATTACTGTTATCCCGGTAACCTGTACCAATTTCACTGTACGATCTTAGTTGGCTTTATTGTGTCTTGTTCTATTGTATACTTTCAAAATAAAATTTTAAAAAATAATAAATTATTATATTCTTATTGGTGGTTTTCCCTTCAAAAAAAAAAAAAAGATGGACAGGGCCAGGGACTTCAGCAGTGTAAGTGCCTGCCTGGCAAGTGCAAGGTCATGAATTCAATCCCCGGTACCAAAAAAAAAAAAAAAAAGAATGGACAAGTTGTTATAGTTGTACCCTTTTGAATTTTCAGAAATGATGTGTCAACAAAGTTTTAATTCTTGGCCTGGCATTTAGAAGATGACAAGAATATTTGAAAGTGCTGATAAACAATAGAAATTTTAAATGATAATTCTAAAAATCTTTACATGATTTCTTAACCTCAAATTTAACTGACTGTTAACTATTGACAGTTTGGGTTACAAATCACTCTGGAAGACAGGACAAAAGGTTGTGAAAAATCATTTCTCCCTCACCCTTACCCCCATATAAACCCACCCAACTAGGAGTGCCACAAGGGAGGCTTTAAGACATGAAGCTATGGTGTCTTTCCTACCAGCTCATCTGTTGCATTAAGCCTTCTGTCTTGGACCTGTGATCCACGCATACTGCTGCGAGTTGATCTTCTTCTTAGACTGGATCTTGAATCTTTTAAAGATCCCAACCCATCAACTTCATTTTTGGATTCCAAAATTTCATTTTCTACTTCAATTTCATTTCCTCTTGTCTAAAATAAACAAGAAACATACATAAGTTGGTTAGTCGGTTAACTAATGAAAATTAATAATTAAGTGTCAGCAAGGAAACAATCATTTAAGTGGTAACAAGAAAGATGGCATTAAACTGCTATGAGTTGTGGAACGATACACTTGAAAATGCCAGTGGCTGAATAGGAAGGATTCTCACTGAAATTACTAAAATAAGATGATATAGCTACCAAATAATTTAGTTGTCTCCCTTCTGCGGGTATCAAGTCTGTTGTGAACCACAGCAGACAACAAAAATATGGTTCAAGCCAAACTGTGAGTTATATTTATCTTTTATAATTTTCTAGGAGTCACACTAAAAATGGGGAAAAAGAGGTAAAGTCAATTTTAATTATATATTTTATTTTATTTAATATATTCAAGATAGTACTGATATTATTGATTACTGATATTTTTATTTCCACGTGCAGCCAGTGGTTAAAACAGTTTGCATTTTTCACAATAAGCCTTCAGAATCTTGTTTGTGTTTTCTACTTACAACATTTCAATTCAGTTCAACCACCATTCATTCACATGATCAGTAGCCACTTCTGGCTGGCAGCTCCTATCACAGATAGCTTGTCTTTAAACCTACTATAACTTTCATTTATATTTCTTACATTTCTATCTTAAGGAAAAAAAATCCATCTTTTGTTGACTCCCCTAAGCCCTCCTTTTCAAGGTAGTCAGATGGAATAACACTTTTAGCACAAAAAACACCTATATCAGTTTATATCTAAGATATTTTAAGAAAATTTTAGTAACCAGACCTGCATCATGACAAGTTTGTAGTAAATGCCTTTCTCTTTCATGAGTTCCTCATGATTTCCTCTCTCCACAATGACTCCATCCTCAAACCCAGCAATGACATCGGCGTTGCGAACTGTGGACAGGCGATGAGCTATCACAATGGTGGTCCGGCCTTCTCGGGCCTAAAGATACAGAAATTTGACTTTTGAATGAATGAACAGTTACAAGAAAAAAAAAAAAAAAACCTCTTTTAGCTAATTTATATTTACCACTGTTTTAGACACTGTAAACTAGAAAAGCTATAGATGATAGCTTTTGACCTCAGTAAATGTAGTATTATAATACATTTTCAAATGTTGTATATGTTACTATGTTTTATTTAATATCCATCAGTGTATACAGTATTTGTAATAATAATCAAGCCTTTATCAAAAGTAACAAAAACCTGTAGCCCAGGCATTGATCAATCAAAACAAGGACAGGCCAGAGTACTATACTCACTCACACAAGGCAGTGGTCAGGCTTATGAACTGCAGCAGACCAGTATCTCAAAGGGCCACCCATATGAGTAAGACAGATCATAAATACTAGATGGCAAATGCCAGGCTTTATCGTTACATGGACCTGAATTAAAATTCTGGCTTTTCCACTTATAAATCCCAGCGCTTTACCTAACCTGTGCAAGGCTCACTTTATTCTTATGTCAAGGGAGGATATCAGTGCTTACTTCTTAGAGTAGCTCTCATCACTAAAGATACAACACACATAAAGAACTTCACACTGTACTTAGAGAAAGTGCTTACTAAATGACACTTGTTTCTAGTTAAAAGCAAGTACTCTGCAAATGTTTTAAATACCCAGTTTCATTTTTAGTTTAATACACAACAGAGGCGGATAACAAGCACTTGTCTAAAACTTCTTTAACCTTCATAACTTTTCAATGCTTGTCACTACTGTCACTCTATATTTGCCTCCAGTAAGAAGCAATAAAACTTAAACACATACAGAACGACTTCACAAACAAGGTAAAAAAAAATAATAATTTAAAAAATCCCCAAAAAGGAAAGAAAACTGTGAAAACAATTAGAGCATGGTAGCTAGCAAGAGAAAACAGTGGCCAATTCACTGGCTATTTTGAGAAAATGGGTGCATGTGAAATTAAATCCCAAAATTTGTATTCTAAAGAAAAATACCTGAAATAACATCTTGCCAAGTTTTTTATTTGTAATTTAATACATGGTTCCATTTTGGAATAACATGAAAGCAAAGAGAAGGAAACTACAGGAAAACACAGGTGTGAAATCACAGGCAGGCTAAGGGGGAAACGGTGGTCCTCATCCCTTCTGCTTCTAGTTTGGTTCACAGAATGTTTGGCAAACTGCTTTTTGCTCCCTCAATAATCTACTAAGCACACTGATAAGATGTTCAAAGGAACATAAAATATTTTATTAGAGAAAGGAGAATTATAATGAATGTGGGTTCATCTTTGAAATTTTGTAACAGATCTCCCCAAAGCACCTTTGGTTCCTCGGTCTATGCATTCCCTGTACTCCCAGAGGCAGCCTGGTTACTATCATACAGGGAAGATCAAGCACACAGTGTCTGCCTACACAGAAGGAGCACACTCAGATGGTATATGGTAATATCTCTTGCACTCAGGTATGGCTGGAAGGTTGCTATGGTTTCTATCTAGAGGCCCCCACAATGCTTCATGCACTTAGAGGCAGAGTTTTGGGAGGTGGCTGGATGGTGGGTGCACGATACTGTCATAGTCCACTGAGCATAGTTCTAGGTGTGGCTGAATGGATTTACAGAGGATGCACCCTGTGTGTGAGTGGTACCACCCAATAGACTTGCAGCCTCTATGCAGTAAAAGAGGAAGAAGGAAACCTGTTTCCTGCCTGTCATGGAGTGGAGTATTTCTGCTCTACCACACCACCCTGCCTTGGAACAGCCAGGTCTAGACTGAAACCTCTACAAACTGTGGGCTAAAAGCAACTTTTCCTCATTTAACTTGTGGGCGTCAGATATTTTGTCTCAGCAATCAGAAAGTAATTAAGACAAAGGTTAATTTTTGTTGTTGGACAATGACATTTCACACCTGAAGTAGGTGGACAATAACACAAACTTTCTGCCTCTATCTTGAGGATGCAAAATTTCTCATTTCCCAGTGTCTTAAAGTGACATTTACAATCTGATAAATTACCTCTGAACCTTCAGATTGTATATTCATCTTGTTGCTAGTATTATAAACTTCTAAAACATAAAAAAAAAAACCCAGGGTTGTCCTTGCAGCAAACTTTTCAAGGTCACAATGAGGACCAATTTTCTTTTGAGCCTATATTTCTCATTGTTTAACTTTAAAGTTTCCACATTTTTAGATAAAAAGTATAGTTGGGGTCATGGTAAGAAAAAAAATGATCAGAGAAACATAGAAAATTAGCAAGCAAACAAACAGAAAAAGTACTGGAGACCTGTGCTTTGAGTAACTGAAGGAATCCCCTATGTGGAAAAATACCGGAAATAAAGAAAGAAATCAGAATAAACAGAATTAACACAAGAAGGCTATTGCTTGAAACCAGCTGGTGCACACCAGGCTCACGGACCTTGTCCAGGGCCACCTGCACCACCGCCTCACTCTCCGTGTCCAGGGCCGACGTGGCCTCGTCCAGCAGCAGGATCTTGGGGTTGCGAACCAGGGCCCGCGCTATGGCGATTCTCTGCTTCTGCCCACCACTCAGCTGTGCCCCTCTCTCTCCAACCAGGGTGTCGAATTTCTGCAACAGAAAACATTACCAAAAGACTTAGAAAAACACAAGTTATCTCACATCACATTTTACATTGACAAGTCATCCTTTAAACCATCCAAGCCTCACAGGGAATAGAAGCCCACTCTTCAATCCTTAGCAATAACCCATCCCAGATTCTAACACTGATTACTGCTAGTAGACAGCATTAGAGCTTTAAAAATCCAAAGTAATCTTGATTTCCCTTTCTAGGAGATTCCTGCAATTTGTAGCAGCTCCTGAATTTCCCAAGGATTGGACAAGGCCGCAGTTCCCTGCAACCACAGAGCTTAAGAACCACGCACATGAGGCAGCTTCATGATGAAGTCATAGGCGTTAGCTTCCTTGACAGCTTTCTCAATCTCTTCCATGGTGACATTCTCTCGACCATAGCGAATGTTTTCAGCTATTGTGGTGGCAAACAGCACAGGTTCCTGACTCACCACACCGATAATCTCCCGCAGATACCTCACGTTTATGGTCCTGATGTCCTGGCCATCAATAGTGACCTGAAATAAACAACAAGTAAGCTTTCCACACATTTGTAGTTGACACCCCAGCATGAGACAGCTCTGCTGGGCTGATGCTGAGTGCCCGCCTCCTGCTCACCGTGCCCTCGGTGGGGTCGTAGAGCCTCTGCAACAGCTGCACCGTGGTACTCTTCCCACAGCCGCTGTTCCCAACCAGGGCCACAGTCTGCCCGCTCTGCACCTTCAGGTTGAGGCCCTTCAAGATCTACCAAGGCAAGAGGGAGACAGACTTCAAGGCAACTCACACACCAGGATACAGGGTGTGAGCATTAGCAGTTCAATACTAGGCTGCAAAGCATAGGCATTTTTCCTTTGTTTTCAGTCTCTTAGTGTCAGAGACTTTTCACTGAGTATACTGTTTAATCACTGATTAATCAGTTATCATCGTACCTCGACTTCTTTGCGGGAGGGGTAACTGAAGTGAATATTTGTAAATTCCAAATTTCCCTTAATATTCTCAGGTTTGTGGCCAGTTGTTGAAAAGCTGTCAATGAGTGGCTCCTGCACAAAATCGAAGTTTAGAAGATCAATAAGTTAGTAAGTCACTGTAACTACCTTTTAGTGACATTTTGTGGAGAACAACATAAAATGATAACAAAATTGATTTTAACAGCAAATCTGTTTTAAATGGGGATAAGCCAGCTAGGACTTACATTATCAATTATCTTGAAGACTTCATAAGCTGCTCCTCTTGCATTTGCAAATGCTTCAATATTCGGAGATGCCTGTCCAATACTAAAAGCTCCAATTAATACAGAAAAGAAGACCTGAGGAATATGAAGGAAAACATTGAGTTACCTGGTGTTTCCTGCAAGTTTTCTATGCTTCTTTCTTCCATCATAACTAACTCCATTTTAAAATGGCAAGGCAACATCAAAATCTATTTTATTTTAACAGTTTATAACTAAGAGAGTAAATTTTAAATATACCACTTAAAAAAATACTAAGTAAGGTTAACTAGCTTGTTTAATTACTATACATATACCAAAAATTACATTATACGCCACAAGAGTAATACAATTATAATTTGTCATCTGAGGATAATATAAATTTTTTAAATATAAAAATATTTTAATGTTTAAATTCTTTTTTATTTACTATATGAAGAATGCACAATTGGCCTTATTTGCTCAGTGAAACAATGATGTAAATGATACATGATTATAATACTGCAATAGAAATTTTTATTTCTTCCAGGCTTAGAATTTTTATTTAGATCACTGGAAGGCATAATGGAACACAAAGGCTTGTCTCTCTTTCTATTAGAAGTTAAAGAGGACTAAAGTTACTATTCATTTTTTCCTAAATCATAAAAGAATTACATTGCCCAAAAGTTTACACTACAGGATTTTGCTAAATCATGCTATATTCAATATTTTAAACTCCCCAATGATGCTAAAAGTGAGGGCACACTCATCTTTACACATTACTTTGACAGAAAAGGTAACAGGCCTACAGCATGCAGACAGCTGCCCTAACTAACACAGCTAATAAGTGCATAGCTGGGATATGAACCACGTTTCTATTCTTTTCCTTTTTTCTCTATTATCTTCTCTGGACCTTGGTTTTGAACCCCATGCTTCAGGCATGCTAAGTAACCACTCTAATACTGAGCCATATGCCTAATCCTTTTTATATTCTTTTTGAGGCACAGTCTTGCTATGTTGTTCAGGTTGGTCTCAACCCTGACAATTCTCAGGCCCCCAAATAGATGCAATTATAGGCCTGTGACATCTTACGTGTCTCTGCACTATTCAATTATTTTTCAAAATAAATTCTTCTAAAGTCAAGCCAGTACTACCCAGTTTCATTGCCATCTTTAATGATGATTTATTTCTTTTTACAACTTACTTATAACTTACAGTGAGCACTTGTCCAATAGAATATTCCCGTGATATGACCAACGAGGTCCCATACCAAAATGCCAGAGCATAGGATGCATAGATCAGCAGGAAAGCAGCACCAATAGAAATATTGGATGTGATGGCTTTCTTTATTCCAATTCTTTTAGCTTCTTCTAAATTTTTATTGTACCTGGGAGGAAAAAATGAAAATTATCAAATACACTTACAAATTTTAGGAAAAACATGTCAGTGTAAGCATGTTGGTATTGTAGAGTTACAACGTGCCCAGCCCTGTGGCATGCATTTATTTTCTCTTTTTGCCCATACAGTGACCCTACAAAGTTACTACTACCTCTTCTTCTGAAAAGAAAAATAGAGTGTTCCTGAGAGTGGGTTATCCATGGGGAAATCTGAAATCTCTTACCTTGGCCTTAGCAAGAGCAAACTAAGTGAAGAAATATTTTGCAAACTTCCAAGACATATACTTTTCATACTTAAGACAAAATATAACCTATGGGGAAAAGCTTTTCTTCAAAATCTACCTGCTTCAGTCATTAATTAACACAATGGAGAGATAAAGCTAAGCTGAAGAAAAGACTTTAAATCTCTGCACCTTAAAGAAGTTTGGGATCTGATCCTTGTTCTGCCTCTCTTGAGGACTGTGGTAAGGACCAACTGTGAGATTACTTGTATGAAAGCATTTTGACAGATTTGAATTTGTTTAGTATATTGAAATAAGTTGTAATATATCTTAATTCCATACATACATTTTAAAAGCCACTAATCTATAAAAATATTTTTAAATATATGTTATATATCACTAAATATATCACTATTCATCAATGTCCCCTTCTTTTATCCTTTCTCCATACTGCCTATTCATCCATCCTAGCCCTTGACATTTCATGGTTTCTGGAAGCCAGAACAAATGGCTCTTGCATGCGGCTGGGTCACCCAAGGATTTCTAGCTTCAGGGATTCAGAAAACCAAAATGTCAGTACATGGACAGCCCTGTAACTAGTTGACAGCCCAAAAGTCTTGGAGAACCACCCATTAAGACCACGTAGAACTAATACAGTGAATTATATAAAACAGGTAAAAACAAGGAAACAAACAGAAAAACTAAAACTCAACATTGTAGTCTAACATTTTTTCTCCGTTTCTTATGATTTCTCAAGTGATAATTTAAGTACAGTAAAACCTTGGATTGTGAATAATGTGCTCCACGAGTGTTCAAAACAAGATGAGCAAACATTTCTAATAAATAATGGGTGATATCTTTCATTACAAGTAGTACATGGTGCCAAATATGAGCACAACTGAGCCAATGATGCCCCGTTTGGGGATTATGTGTAATTCTCTCCCAATAGCAAGAGGTTATGGAGAAGATCTCATCTACAGAGGAGGAGAAAAAGACAGAGGAATCCCTCACTTAAATGAGATTAGAGATATATGTAAAATGTGGAAAACAATGTAAAATTTGGTAGAAAAACACCACCCGAATAATGCTATAGCAGTGTGAGCTTTGAATCTGTTTAACAACAAATGTCACATTTCCTCAAAATCCTCAGTTGAAGACAAAAAGCAAGTGTCAGTGGATAGGTTTGTTGTTAAAGTTGTACAAGAAGGTTTCCGTTGAGCCAATAGATAGCAGTGATTCCACTAGTGATAGTGCAAGTTGTCCAACATAATAGCCCTCCTCGCTCATCTCCCTCACATCAGCCATGAAGGTTTTCAAATGTAACTACAGGTTAATTTGTTTATTTTTCTTTATATTTTGTTTTTTATCATTTTGTATTACATTGTTTATAATCATTTTTATATGAATTTTTTGGTTTGTAGAATAAATGATCTGAGTTTCTACTATTTCTTATGGGAAAATTCACTTTGATATACAAATGCTTCAGATTATAAACATATTCCTGGAAAGAATTATGCTCATGAACCATGGTTTTACTGTACTTTTATACCTTTGAAGAGTAAACAATTTCTATGCTAAAGCTAAAAGTAATGATGTATGAAACCTTACCTCCATTTGAAAGGAATGCAAGAGATTATTCTGCTCAAAAAGAGAAACATGGATATAAGCAAATAGGTCCCAGAGTAAAAGAGAAAGGATAAAAAATAAAAATAAGAAGGAATAACTTTGGAAATATAGAACAAAGGTGAAATTGTTAGAAAACAGAATAATTGAGTGTTAAATCTCTTATCCTATTTATCAAATCTCCCTGAAGAATTTAGAGCATTGCCTTACAAAAGGAATAACTTATAATCATTGAAATGAAAGAACTTCATTCTATAGAGATTTATATTTTTGTCTTTAGTGGATTAAATATGATTGCAAATATATATTTTTTAAAAGTTATTGCATATGGGTGTACACTAGAGTTCAAGTCCTGACCAGATAAGAGCATGCCTTCTTTCTGGCCTTTTGACTACTTCTTAAGACTGGCTACTGTACCACAGTACAAAAGCATGCCAAGTGAAATTTATATGACAAGTTTGTCCATTAAAGACCAAATTTAAACTTAACTTTATACTGCTAAAATATGTAAATCCTGCCCTGCTAGCAAAATCTTCAAATAAAAAATTAATTTTAAGAGACATGTCTCATTAGGACGTGTGTGCCATTTTAGTAGTGCAGCTGAAATAAAAGGTACCACTTGGTATAAATTATATATGACTACAGCAAGGAATTTCATCACCCATGACTATATGCCATCACCTCCTCTCTGAAGTCTTGCTTACCGAGAGAGATTGTGGAAACCATTTCACTGACATGATGTTGTCCTATGCAGCAAAAAAGAAATATTTGCACAGAAAGAAGGAATAAGGGAGAAGAAAATCATTTAGATGCCATGAAAAATAAATGAAAAGAAAGAGTAGAGAAAGGATCAGATAAACAATACTCTTTTTGACTCACAGAACTGTACTCATCTAGAGAATATATTTTCCAACTGGTATATTAGATACTTGTTTATTTGTAGCTGTCTGTACCCTTCCCTCCACCTATTATTTGATGAGATATTGGCCAGTGATTAAGCAACACTTACCATTTTGTTAGTCAGACATTTTAAAGCAAAAGCAAAATCCTAGACAAAAATCATTACTTCCTTTAAACTATGTCACTTAGCTATTGTGAATATCTTATAAACATCTGTTAACTATTGTGAATTTCAAAATTTTAACTTTTATACTCAGAAATCTGATAAAAGGTAAGTCCCAAGAATACTGTTAAGCAATGGATCATAAGAAAAATCTTTAGTTTCCTTTTTAACAATGTGATTTTTGGTCATATTTGCTATAATCTCACAAACTATACTTCACCTAAGTATAGTTTAGTATATTCTTCACCGAAGTATATTCACCTGGGCAAGAAGGGAAATAATCCACAAATTAAAATATTCCATAGACCTTATAAAAATAATCATTCAATATTAGAGAATCACTAATTAGCTCAATAGGACAGAAAACAAATAATCAGAGACATAAAATGTGTTTTAGCCTTAGGAAATATTTTACAGATTATTTATAAATCAATTTAGACCAAGCATACCCAATTTTGAGCCTCATAAAAACCCCAGGGAAGTTACACCAGAAGTGAGAAGAAACAACTCCATTTGTTTAGTTCTCAGACACAGAATGACACAGGGTAAGACCACTCTGAATCTAGGATTTGTTCGGTTTTTATGTTTATAATAATTTATTGTGGCATGTACCAAATCAAGTTAGAATACAAATAATTCTATACTGTATTCTCTTTGAAAAAATAAAATAAATAATTTTGTCACTGCCCATCTAGACAAAGCTAGAAAATTCTTTGAATTATAAGACATAAGATATAATATATGTTATAAGATATAAGATATAAGAAGAGTTCAACTAGAATCACAAATTTGCCATAATTATTGTTATTTAAGGAAGCATATTTATACTAGGAAGGAAAAAAATCATCTCTTCTAGTTAAAACTGTCCTCAGTACATATGAGCTGAGCTAGAATTTAGTATATCTATCAATCTAAATAAGAAACTTATAGCGGGGCAGGGTGGTACACTCCTGTAATTCCAGCACTCAGGAGGCTGAGGCTGGAGGATCACAATGAATTCAAGCTTGGGTACACAGCAAGACCCCCTGTCTTTAAAAAACAAACAAACAAAAAATAGCACCTGCCAGGCAAGTACAAGGTCCTGAGTTTGATTCCCAGTACCAAAAGAAAGAAAAGAAAGGAAAAGAGACTCAAACCTTTCAAGTTCTTTGCTTTGTCCTCCAAATGCAATCACAGTTCTAATGGCTGCTAAGGCTTCTTCAGCCACGGCTCCAGCTTTTGCATATGCTGATAGCTCTTTATCAGTAAATGAAGACAGTATCTGTTAAAATATTAAAATTGCAACTTGAAGTGATTTAAAAATTTTTAACAAGTTATGTTTTGCAAAGTAAAAATACACAGACACACAAAGGCTGCTGGTATAACAATGCATGTGAATAATCAGGAAAAAAAACAAAACAGTAGAAGGGTACAAGTAATACAGAATTACAAAAAACGGTAAGAAATCACTAGTTAATAGATTACATATTATCATCTTAGGCACAGTTGTTCAAGTTACAGGATTAAAGCATACAAAGTGGACAAATCTTTTTTTGAGTTGTATGTGGTCACGAAGATCGACATTTTAGCATATACTCACTCTGTAAACTCAAATTGTTCTAGTCTAAGAGAGTATATAACAAATTGGATTAATCTCAAACATTTTCCATTAAAACCTCACGAATCTTTATCTACATAAACATAACTGAAACATTAAGATGTTAAATTTGTACAAACCATAACCGTGGTATATGGGATGTACATATTAATGAAATATGGTGTGTGCTAAGCATACTAATTGTTAATGACACTGTGGTTTAGAAGCGAGAAGGTGGAAGTGTAGAGGAAGGCAGGTGCCTCGGGCTGGGCAGCAGAGTCTCCTCTGCTGGACTCTATAGGAATGGACACATGTGACCACCAAGAGAAGCCTTTGTTGTCTTTGTCCCCTGGATGTTCTTTGCTTCTTCTGCTCAGCTCCTAGCCATTTATTCTTTAGACAAATGATTTTGCTTATTCTTCTTAGTTGCACAGTGAGTAGGTTTTAATTTTTCCACTTAGATATGAAGAAATAGAAATGAACATGAAACAATTTGCTAGTAAATGGACCATCCAAAATCAAAGCCTTGATGCTATGGCTTCAAAGCCTGAGTTAACAACCACTGGAGCAACTAAACTAACTCTCTCTCTCTCTCTCTCTCTCTCTCTCTCTCTCTCTCTCTCTTGCTCTCTAAAGCCATGGATATGTGAACAACTATGAAAGTTGGATCAACTGGTGTGGGCAAAGTTTGAAGATTTATGCCTCACAAGAAATGCTGGTAAGGTCAGCCATGTAAGTTTTACACACAAACAATACATAACTAAATTCTGCTTAAAGCACATTGTACTCTTTTGGCAGCTAATGCACTGTATTTGCATATATCATCTAAGAATATATTTGCATATATCATTGATATATCATCTAAGCAATAATGGTATATTATTTCCTGGTATGAAATGATCAAAGTCACTTTAACAGTGAATTTTATCCTTTCTTGTGTATGGGAGTAAAAGGAGCCATGATACATGCAAGAATGAGTGGATAAAGGCATACAAACAAATATTAATCATGTTCTCTGTGCTGACATCATGCTGCAAGTATCTGTCCTCTTTGGCACCCAAAAGAGTAACAGTCATGGCACCATCCTGACTTCTCAAAGCCATCTTCTGAGGCTTCCCATTTTCCTCAGTCATTAAGTGCTCGTTTGGTACCATTTCCTCAGTCATTAAGTGCTCGAATTGGTACCATTACTAAGCCAACAGCTCTGCAGAACAAAGAACTCATGTAGCAAGGTTGGCCAATGCTTCTCTCCTGTCTTCCTGCAGCCAGTGACAGGAGGATTACCAAGACATGCTTTCAAATTAGGAGTTTTAAAATACGCATTTTCATTTATTGTAATATGTCAAGTACCATGCTGAATTCAAGACATCTGACTCCTTTTTCCTTCTGTGACCTTCTCTAATAGTAAGCAGATAAAAATATGATTCATCTTCATTAGGTGTTTTTCCCCTTCAAAAGAGCATGTCTGTTAAAAAACAAAACTACCAGATATGTCCTCAAGGATATGAAAAGCCAACTCCTACTATCCTTTCAATATAAAATAAAGAGAAGACACTCGATCATTACAATTGCTCATGTAAGCTATATAAAGTATCATTAGTTCATCCGTTTCCCAAAGATTGATAATCTCTTACTAAAGTCTAATGGATATTAATTTGAAACAAATGAAGTAGTTATTTCTACAAGTCAAAAATTGTCCAATATGGGCAATTTTTTATCATTCGAACTGATATATGCAGAAGACATACTATGAACTAGAGAAGGGTGACATCTGTATTCTAGTTTGTCATTTTTTTCAATGTAGATTTCTGCAGTGTTAACATTTTATAAATGCTTTATGTTATTTTAACTTTTTATTTTGAGATAGGTGCAGTCCACATATATTTGTATAAAACAATACAGACAAGATTCCACAGAGCCCTCATTCAGTGCTCCCCAAAGTTTATCATTTAGTTTAGATTTGTGTGAATACTGCCTCAGTTATGGCACAAAACAATTCCATCACAGAGATCTCTCATGGCACTTTTAATAGCCTCTATGAAAATGCCTCTTACTTCCTTCTCATCTCTCCTAAGATCTCTAAGTGCTGGCATCTACTAATATACTCATCTCTATATCTATACCATTTTAAGAATTTCCTATATAGAAGATACTTTTTCAAACAACACAATTCTCTAGAGATTCACTGAATTGTTGTATGCTCTTCTACTTTTTACTAGTGGGTAATATTCCATGGCATGAATGGCAACGCATGTTTAGTTTTATAAGAAACCCTTAACTGCTTCCCTCAAGCTTGCCATTTTCCACACCCACCAGCAATCTGTGGGTGACTTAGTTGCACTGTATTCTTTCCAAAATTTGTGTGTTACCATTTTAAATTTGTCTTTATTAGGTTGTAAATTTGCTATCTTTACAACACAGATCAAGAGATTTTGGAGAATAGTATAAAAGTTATTGCAGAACTATATGATTTTTTCCCATTAATTTCTCCTAAAATTTCTTGGGTTTTGTTATTGTTGTTTTGTTTTGTACCAGAAATCAAACTAAGGACTTTGTGCTTGCCAAGCAGGTGCTATGCTGTTGAGCTATTATCCTTAGCCCCTAACATTTCTTTTAGTTAATTAATTTCATTAAAGATTTTAATTTTAATATACTACAAAAATGGAGAGTCAAAAATTAAGACAAATTGTCTTAAGCTACACAATAAATTAGTGGAGAAGGCAATAACCAAATCCAATTCAAATCTTTTTTTTTTTTAGAACATGTTGGTAGTACCTGACATCTACGCTCATCTTCAGGGGAAGGTATATGTACTATGCTTTTTTTTTAGTATTTTGTAATTATTAAGGAGTTGATCTGTACAATGTTGAATTTCTGACATAAAGTTGCTTGTTGCATTCCCTTATCTACCTTTTTTTTTTTTTTTTTGTCTTTTTCATTTTTATCGGTACTGGGGATCGAATTCAGACTGTCTGCTTGCAAGGCAGGTACTTATGCCGCTGAGCTAAATCCCCAGCCCACCTTACCTACCTTTCTAAGGTCTGCAGGATTAGTGGCATCCTGCATTTGATTCTGATCCTGGCCACTTGTGTCTTCTGTCTTTTTTTTTTTATCTAATTCACTAGAGGCTTGTCAAATTTATTAATCAATTTGTTTAGAATCTATTTTCTATTTCATTAGAGTTTTTGTCTGTTTTCAATTCATTTTCTGCATTTACCTTTATAATTTCCTTCTTCTACTTATGTGGTCTTATTTTACCGTTCTTATGTGACTGAGATGGAAACTTAAGGTACTACACTGAGCTGAGCCATTTCCTCATTTCTAATATAAACACTTAATACTGTAGGTTTCTTTTTGTTGTTGTTCTATGTGCTATTAAATTTACTTTGAGATTTGTTGCATGATCAAAGGATTATATAAAAGTGTGCTATTTTATTTCTATGTATTTAGAAATTTTCTTATCTTCTTCCACTGCTACAGTCAGAAAAGAAAACACTATGGTTCACAATCTTTTACACTTCCTGAGATTTATTTTATGGCACAGGATGTAACCTATCTTATTAAGTGTTTCCGGAGCATTAAAAAGAAAATAAGCCAGGTATAGTGGCACATGCCTGTCATCCCAATACTTGTGAGCTGAGGCAGGAGGACTGCCCTGAGTTCAAGAGTTTGCGACCAGCCTGGGCTATATAGTGAACTCAAAGTCAGCCTGGACTACACAGCAAGACCCCGTCTCAAAAAAAAAAAAAAAAAAAAAAAAAAAAAAAAAAAAGAAAGAAAGAAAGAAAAGAAAAATATCTTTTCACATATATTCTAACTTGTTACAATTATATTCTAATTTCTCTTAATTCACTGGAAAGTTTTATGCTACTATCTGTTTATTCTCTGTAAGAGAATCTTTGTGTCTTGTACTTTGAGTAACTACTTTGATGATAATGATATGCAGTATATTAACTATTGTTATTCTCTTACATTGTTGTGAAATTTCATTTTTATGCAAAATAAAAAATGAATGTGTGCCCTCATCCTACACCTAACAAATTGTAGATTTCAGCTTATATGTTTTATACAGGCAGAGAATGAGATATAAAAGCTACTTCCTTCTCATTGCTTTCCCAAATAATCACGTCTATGAGCATCACAGAGCCCTGGCAGGGGCAGTACTCAGTGACACTGCATCAGCTTCTACTGATTTTGAACAGAAGACATAAAAACAAGTGTCAAATACATTAGGGCTACCATGGTTCCAGACCCTTCCATGCTGTGCAGGGAGTTAGAACCCGGACTCACAGGCTTCACCCACCTTTGCCCAGATTGCAGCTGATAGTCCAAGAACAGGGCTGACAGCCAAAATCACAAGAGTGAGCTTCCAACCACGTGTAAATCCTATTATGAAACCAGTCAAAAATGTTGCCAATGATTGAAAGAACAATCCAATTTTGTCACCAATTCCTTCATTAATTTTGGAGACATCACTAAAAAATGATGTTAGAAATAATGTTAGAATTACAAACATACAACTCTTCTCCTAAACTCATTTTCATTTTGTGGGATATGGCAAAAATCAGTTTATATCTAGGGCCTTTATGTGTATGCTAGTTTCATTTAGCAGGGTGTCAGTTCTTAGTAGGAAATTTGTCATTGACAACAGAAATTCATAGTCCACATGATCCCAGGAAATGAACATGGTTACTCAAGAAGTATGCAATGTGAAAATTTCAAATTGCTTGGAAATTTAACCAGTAAGTATCGTATTACTGCCCTACTGTATACTGCTTTATGAGCTCTCCGAGTAGCCCTTGATTGAGGTAAGTTCACTCCCTCATTCACTGCCAGTCAAGCAGGTCCCATCATTCTACGCCAGGTACACAAGACATGGTTGCTATTCAGAAGGAACTCAGTCTTCTGAGTGATGCACTAACATCTTTAAGAGATCTGATGACATCTGTCTCATTTCATTTACAGCAAAAACCATATCTGAGTTACACATAAAGCTAGGTACTTACTCTGTGAGACGGGTGTTCAGCTCCCCAGCATCATGCACATCAAACCAGCCAATCTCCTGTTTCATTATTGCATGGAAAAACTGTGTTCTAATTTTGTGTATCTGTCTTCCAGCTGCCAGGCACCAAAATGAAACCTGAATGTAAGCAGCAATAAGCACACCAGCACCGATTCCAGAATAATAATAGGCATACCTGAAAAACAACAAGAACACTGCCCACACTCTATATTTTCTAATTAATGCATTTCTCCCAACCAGCCATTCATTCATAGTTTTTTTAGCTATGCATCACACCTCTTAACAAATAAAAAGAGGTCAGAGTAAGCAGAGATGATAATTAGTATGTGACTACATCTGTAGTAACATACTGTACAGGAACAGTTAAGCATGGTTTCTACTTTGGCTCCAATCCCAATTCTTGGTTTAACTCTCTTGGTATACTCTCAGGCAAGCTGCTGAAACTTCCTGAGGTTCAGTCTTCTAGCTGTTAACATGGTGATAAGAATAGCAAGGCAGTCATGTGCAAAGTATACTTGGGCCAGCGCCTGGCACATGGAAAGCCTTAGATAAGGAGTATGATAAATGACTGTGTGGGGCACTGGAGCACCAGGTAAGAAGGGTCACTGTAGTCCTGTCTACTTTCACTACATCATTATCAACTGATGAACTCTTCAATGTGGCATCTGCACATGGAGGGATGGAGAGAAGTGACAGAACTTGTCAGAAAATGGAACAAAGACACGACAATGTTCCTCTGGCTTTTTAGCTATTAGTCTAGAAGTTGAATATTAAGAGGTAAGTGAAAATTAAAAAGTGCATTTACACTACCTGTCCAACTGATCATCATCATGAGCTGTCACCTATCATGAGCTGTTCTAAAATGTCAACGAGTCATTTCCAGTTTCCTTTCAGTTTAAACTCTAACAATAAAACCATAACATCTTCTCAAAGTGGACTCTGACATCAAGAAAGATTCAATTAATGTTTTTTTGTTCTTAGTGTTCGTTTTTATAAAAACAAATAATTAGGCTTCAGTATGCAATCAATTTTTAGATTAAAGGCATACATTCTAAAGTGAAATACAGAATACCAACTTTCTCATTTTTAGAAAATTGCTGTAATGTAATAAAAAAAAAAAGCGTGTAGCATGCACAGGCTATCAAAGTGAGTGTGTGGTTAGCAGATACTCCCTGATGGTACTGTTGAAAATTTTGTGCTCAATACACCACAAATAATATGAAACATTCTTTCTCTAAAACTATACTTTGTAATTTACAATATACTTAGGTAAGATACAAGAGAAATGCTGAATTTTAGTTAATAGGTAACTCAATATTTATTATATAGCTTTTAAAGATATAGCAAGAAATACAAAATCAATTTTATAAGAACTCAAATTTTGACAAACAGTAATATGTGTATGTGGTTCTTGTTTGTTTGTTTGTTTTTTGGAAACAGAGTCTCACTCTGTAGATCAGGCTGGCCTTGAGTTCACTATGTTGCCCAGACTGGACTGGAATTCTCAGTAATTCTCCTGCCTCAGATTCTTGAGTGCTGGGATTACAGGCATGCACCACCATGCTTAGTTAGTAATGGGTTTTAAACATCAGGCATTCTGGTTTGCCCTATGTAAAAAAAAATGCCTCTCCACAGGAATATCTGAAGACATTTTGTTTTTCAACTTTCAAAATATAAACTGTCTCCATTTATACTATCATGTAGAAACATTATCTTCTGACTCACTAACATAGAAGTGGTTCCTCACATCACAAACTCAGTTCCCTCTATGATGCTACAAATTTCCGCATAAGGTCAATATTGAACCTCACCACTATTGATTCCTTTCTCATCCAACTCAGTTTGCCACCAGAATCATGGAAAGAATCAAGTTTGTGAACTGAGATATCATCATACATTTTTAGAAATCAGTTATAAACTATTTTGGGGAGGAAACTTCAAGATGTGTAAATCATTAACATTTTCCTGAGATGAAGTAAGGTCAGTGACTATACTGCTTTTGGAATATTGTTTTCCTTGTTGAGATTTAAATGCTGAATTTTAAAAATTCCTGTTTCCTTATGAAAAAGCATATCCAAAAGGAAAACTAATGACTACAAAGTCATTAAAATATTTATTCCTAATTCAACCACTTAAAAAAAACTACTTTAGACACTTCGAACTTCCATATGTATTGTACTTTATATTTTGCAAAGCATTCATAACTATTTAGGCTTTATTTTACCTTAATACATCTTCTACAGCAAATACTTTTGTTTAAAAAGAACTCTACACTGTAATCTTCTTGAAAACTAATAATAGAATTGCTCTCCTGAAAACTTCAGTTTCTCTCTAGGATAATGTAAAATTTTAAACATTTCTATAATGGAAGTGACAAAGCAGAGGTTAATAAAATAATTGTAAGGAAATGTTTAATTTACGTGGTCATTTTTTCCTCCAGATTGTCTGGTCCACTGACTTCACCTGGAACATCAAAAAACAAACATGTATCATTCATGTCTTCTTCATCTCCATTAAAAATAAGCACATACAATGAATCAGACTCACTTATCATCACATAAAAATGTGTGAAATGGACTCAATTTTACTGTGCAAATATTTTCTTGCTGTTCTATGAAGCTGCACTTAGGCTAAATTCAATGATGTTTATTTTCAAGAAGAAAACACATTTATAAATACATACAAATGCACACTTGAACTTTAGTGCATATTTGAAATCTAAAACTGCATTTCTCCTGTTTTTGTTTTTATTAAAAATTATCTGATACAAAGATTAGTATAATAAACATCAGAGGGCATCACTTAATATTAGCAAATGCTAATATTTTTGGACTAAGCACATTATAAAGTCCTTCATAACTTTAACCTCCACCCTACACATATAAACCACTGTTCAACATTTTCATGTATATATTTCCAATTTTTTGTATGTGGTTTCATAGACATACAAATTCATGAGCACATAAACATACACATGCTAAGTTTTTTAAAAATACAATTATAGCCTATATTCGATGGCCAATTTTTCCACAGCAGCGTATGACTGCAAACAGACTTGAACACATACCTATATACATATGGTAAATATTATATAGGATAAATGATTGGAATCAGGAGTTCTAGATCAATGGACAGGCGTACTTTAGACCTTAAAGTTGTGGCAAATAGTGTACAATATGAGAGGGTCTCCTCCAGATAATTCTTCTCTGGACAGGTGTGAAGAAGGGGAGGAAGAAGATTTTTGGCACTGTGAGCAATACAGACCAGTCTAGTACATTTTTTTTTAATTTTATTTAAGGAGAAAAGAAAAAAAGCAGGGAAAGGGTACAAGTTATACAGATTTACAGAAAAAAAAATGAACAGTAGGAAATCACTAGTTAATGGATTACATATTGTCATCTTAGAAATAATTGTTCAAGTCACAAAATTAAAGCTTGTAAAGTGGACATTCCATCAATTATACTGCAAACAGTTCTGTTCATTGATCCAATAAAACTCTGTGATATCATTTTCTATCTTATACACTTAAATATACATGCAGTTATATAGTTTGGAGCACTTTCTTTTCCTCTCTTTTGTACCATGACTATTACACATTTTGGGTTTCATTGCTCCCACGGTTCTTATTACTTTTTTGGAAGAGAGTAAAACCAAATGTGACATAACAGAACAGAGTCAGTCAAATCAAAAGGGTGGACATAATAGATAATGTAAAAACATAATACAAGGTGATCAACAATGGTTACCATAATGCCTCCCACTATCTCTAATAGAATTGCCTATATCATTAGTTATAATACAATTGAACAAAATAGTAAAGAATAAAACCGACAAAACCAAAACATTGGAGACATTGTAGGTCTTCAAAAGTAGATAAAAGTCAACAAGAATGGGCGTCATAATGAATCTCATTATCTTCACAGCTGATGCCTAAACTTTCGAACCTGATACTATCCAGCAAAACAGAATAGGGGAACATCAGTTAAAAACCAGATGGTGAGAGTAATACAGGGCTTTAAATCAAGGTAATGAAAAGTCAAAGTGGGTTACTATAATATATCCTGCTATTTTTTTTCCTTTAATTAAAAGGATAAAGATAAAAAAGTAAATAATGGAGTGGAGATGGAGATAAAAGAGGGCATAACAACGAAACAGCGCAGATCAAAACATAACCATTTAAGCAGAATAGTGTTTCACCACCAGATAATCCTAACCTAAAAGTAGTTACCATATTGTTTCTTTCTTTGAAATCCTTGAGTACAACTTCGTATACTGTAGCATTAAGTATATCAAAACAATGTAAGACCATTCAAGAGAATGACAGCGTTACAGAGTATTTAGAATTGACTAACAAAATGAACAATGGTTTCTGTATAATCTCCTTGTCTTTAAAAGGTTTTTGCTTATACTATCGTACATAATAAAATCCAATAAGATACAGCCTATTTAGACCATTGGAGACAGAAGAACAAAAGCTAGATGAGACTTCAAAACAAGATGATACTAAATCTGTATTACCTATTAAGATGTCATTTTCTCCAAAATAGCTGTTCCTATCATCCAATCTTCTCTGCCTCATTTCTGTTAAGCTCTTTTTCTTTCCGTAGAGGTCAGTTTGTCTTCTTCATTTTGTTCTCTGCTCCATTCATTGTGGCCTCTCTGCCATTATTTCTGGATTCTTTGTATTTTTCTTTTTTTAGAATATCCTGCAATACTCTCTGTAGAGTTGAATTGGTGGTTGCAAATTCCCCCAGTTCCTCTTTATCCTGGAAGCACCTTGTTTTTCCATCAATTTCCAGGGACAGTTGTGCAGGATATCTCAATCTTGGCTGGAGATTATTATCTTTCAATGCTTGAATTATTTCCCCCCACGCTCTTCGTGATTTGATGGTTTGTGCAGAGAAATCTGCTGTAATTCTGATGGGTGTTCCCTTGTAAGTGGTCTGTTTCTTGTCTCTTACAGCTTTTAATATTCTGTTCTTGTATTGAATTTCTGGAATTTTTATTATTATATGCCTGGGTGTTGCTCTGTTTGGGTTGTAGGTAGCTGGGGTCCTGTATGCCTCATACATCTGAGTATCTTTACCTTTTGCTAAATTAGGAAAATTCTCCTGGATTATTTCTGTGAGTAGCTTTTGTAGTTCACTTGTTTGTGTCCCTACTTCTTCTTTTATGTTCTTAATCCTTAAGTTATGGATCCTCTTATCATCTTCTTGTCTTTGTATTATTGCTGTTTGTTTCTTTGTTATTTTTAAGAAGTTTTTCATTTCATTCTCCCATATTACAAGTCTGCCCTCCAGTTCAGATAGTCTGTCCTTAGTTTCTTTCAAGCTGTTATGCCAGTCTTCTATAGACTTCTTAGTATCTTGGTAGTCCCTTTGAACCTGCTTCACGTATTCTATGCTTTCTCTGTTTTCTCCATCAAACAATTCACCCCTTTTTTTCTGTTCTTCCATTCCACCACCTGTTTTTTCTTGGGTGGTACTTAACATTTCTCTAACTATTCTGCATACTTCTAGCTTCAGGTCATTGATAACTTCATTCCTGAATTGGTCTATGAGGCTCTCTATATGGTGCCTTATGTGTATTGGTGTGGTGTCTGCTATTGCCTGTTTCTCAGAATTGGGGGCCAAGGAGCCTTTCTTGTTGCTGCCTCTTCCCATGCTGCCTCTTCTTCTCTGTTCCTTATATATGCAAGCTTATATAAGAGGCCCAGCTTCTCTCCCAGTCAGCCACAGCCTGATCGAATTGCGCCAGTTAGTTGTTCCCGCTCACCGCTGCGCACCAGGAAGTTACGGACCAGGCAGCCTACGCGTCTCCCCTCCCGGCCACCGTCAGGCTCTGGGATCTGGGTTGGGACAGTCTACCAGGTCCGCCGGCAGCGTCACGCAGGCCAGGCACTTTTCACCAATCCCGCCCGAGAGGGGGATGTGTGACTGGAGTTGCCACCGCGCCCTGCTCCCGCAGGACTGCTCGGGCCCAGAAAGTCCTCTGCTGGAGTCAAACTGTGGTAGAGTGTCAGTTTCTCTCACTCACCTCACCACAAGTCAGTGCACACCTCCCTGCCGTTCGCAGATTGCCATTCTCAGAGCTTCCGCGCGTCTCTCTCCTTGCCGAGCCGCTGTAGAGGCAGCCAGCCGCTGCGCGGCGGGAAACCCAAATCGCGGCTTACAATGGCGCGGTTCCAGCCTCCACACCGAGTCTTTTCTGTTCCTGTTTTAGCACCAGGACTGCATTCCAAGTTGGCTTCTCTCAGCCCAGTTCATTCCTGAGTCAGCAGAGCATATCTCCACCGACTTATGTCTCCTTAGTCCCCACCATTCCTGGCTTCTGAGCCGAGTCTTTCAGAGAGCCGCCGGTAGTTGCTGTTATCTGTCCGCCATGTTCTCCCGGAAGTCCCAGTCTAGTACATTTGAAGAATGAATGAGCCAATTTGGCCGCAGCTCAAGGTACATTGAATGGCTATGAGGAGGCAGATGCGTAGTTGGAAAGAGTCTGGACCAGCCAGGTGTAGTAAAAACAGACAAACAAGCATTAATGTTGTTGAGCTAAAATGGATCTAAACAGAAGCATGGTCTGGGAAGATTTCACAGTCAGCAATGTATAAGATTAATTGGAAGGGACTTGAGTTATCACAATTATATAAGAAGAGAAGGTCTAAAAGAGAATATAAAACAAGGAATAAACAAGACTTATAAAGGAAAAACTTTAGGAACTGCCACCTGATGGAATACAAACATTAAAAATAACAAGTGATCAAGATATCACGCCTAAGCATTCAGAGAATGATGGCATCACAGTAGTAAGCCAGCAGAAACAGCTGGTCTAAATGGCTGAAGGAAGATTATTAATCCAGGCTCGCATATTCAAAATTTTGTAGTACATGTCACATCCATCCGAAGATGTTCAGGAAGTATTGAGGCTGTCATTCTCGAGTTCGGGAAAGAGCTCAAATCCAAAACACATTTTCGGGGTCATGTGTTAAAAGCCATAGCTAAATTCAAGAAGGAAAATCCATCTCTCTCTACTGTAAAGGCAGGTTGGCAGGAAAGGGAGATGGCAGAACACTGGGGAAAACCACATTTATGAGCAAGGCAGAAAGAAAAGGAGCAACAAAGAAATGTAGAGATCGGAGAAATCCATGACTGCTTCAGCCTCTTTCCATACAACAATAAAATCCTCAAGGGTGAGTTTTCTCATAGAGCAACCAGTTGAGATTTCTTCTGTCCCATGTATCAAAATAAAACAGGATTTTTCTCCAAATCAATCTTGTAAAACCTCTCACTGTATATCTTCTGCCTTCTCTATATGTCAGAGACTATTTAGTTGTCATTAGTCTGTATACTACCAAATCAAGGCAAGGTTGAAAGTGTATCTATTTTCTGTTCATTACTGCTACAGACTGAAATTCCTTTATCTAAAATGCTTGGGACTAGAAGTATTTCAGATTTGAAAACTTTTCAGAATGATTTGAACTGTTTGTAGAGATGTCACAGGTTGAGAACCCCCAAAACAAACAAAAAAATCTAAATTGAGCACTGATGCTCATAAAAGTTTCCAATGTCAGGACATTTCAGATTTTGCACTAAAGTTTAGGAACCAAGAGAATTTAAATATAAATTCTTTGGCAATAGTGGCTTTTAAGTCTAGAGTCATTTTCCTGCAATCGTATAATTTCTGAAACAGTTCTGGAAGTCTTCTTTTATAAGTGTCTTTAGGAGACATGATTAAAAAAAATACAGTGAATTTCACCGCTGAATGCCATCCTATAAAGGAAAGAGAGAGTCTGGAAAATGCTACGGTAAGTCTTCATTGACCTATTCACCAGAGCTGGCACCATGCAACTTCTGGGTCTTCCCCAAGTCAAAATGCTGGTGAAAGGTAAATACTCTGAATTGATTCAGGACATAATGACTAAAGACGTGAACAACAACTTTCCGAACTGCTTCAGAAAGTTGCAAGATTGATAGGATACATGTGTTCCCATCCAAGAGGAGTATTTTGAGGGTATTAATAGCAATGTGACTTTTATGGTAATAATTTTTAAAAATTTTAATACTCATTGCATTTTCAGTTACCCCTAGCTTTATAGAGGCTCTGCACATGACTTATACACTCATAGTTCAAATATCAAAAGATAAGAGTCATTTATAAAAAAAATAGATGCAACTGACACCATAGTGCTAAGAGAAATAAATCAGTCACATATGTATAAATATTACATGGTTTCTCTTACATAGAATTCCCCAGTATAAATAATTTAGAGCATAATAAAAGATAGATAATATGAAATAGGAAGATAAATCTTTCACAAATGTTAAGCCAATCTAGAGAGGGACAGAGGGAAGAGAGAGAGGAGGGAAAGGAGAAGTAAAAAAAAATTAAGATGGGTCATAGATATATATATATATATATACCAACTCTCACGATCAATGTAATCATTATGTATAGCAAACATATACTAAGAAACATTCTAAAAACTGAAATAAATATTCAAAGGTTAAAAAATGATAAACAGAGATTAAACATTCCTAATCCGAAAATCTAAAATCCTAAGTGCTCCAAACCCTGAAATATTTTGAGCACAGCCATGATGTCACTAAGAAAATTTTAATTCATCAAACTTTGTTTCATGCACAAAATTATTTTTAACAATTTTATAATGCTACCTGTAAACTATGTGTATAAAATACAATCCAATCTCAAAGTACATGGTTATATATATGAAAATATTCAAAAATCTGAAATAAATCCAGAAGGCTTTTAATAAGGGATACTCAACTTGTACTATTTCAAGAACTGGCATTTTACAAATAGTTTTACTCATGAGTTTTAAGGCAGTAAAAGTAGAAATGACAAATGTAAATATAAATTATTTTCACTTTCCCTTTTTCATATGAATTATTAATGCACATGAGACTTGAGTATCTGATTTTCTCCAATTTCTATGCCCATAATATGGTAGGGAATGAATATAAACAACTGTTTGAAGCTTTTGGAGAAAGAGAAAACATCAATGTGGATATACTATAAACTGAATCACCAGATACAACAAATAGTCAAAAGTTTATTTTAAAAGTATTTTGGGGTACTAACCACTATGAGACATGGAAAATCCCCTGAGGCCCTTAATTTTTGAGTTGTTTATCCTTGGTCTCTTCTCTAGACACCTACATCCTTCAGTGTGTAGACTCAGTAACAGTCCGCTACTAACTATCTCTGCTGCTTACTGTGTGTTATAGTTTCTATCTAGATGTCCTTGCAAAGCCTCAGGAAGTCGTGGTGGGGTGGCCATTTCATTCATAGAGTTTGTGATTAATTCATGGTCCAATGCTAGCATTAAAGGTGTGAGTGCTACATCCGCCCGAGGGCAGGCAGCCTGAATAGAGCATAAGGGACACAAAGACGGTTGTCTCTCTGTTGTTGCTTTTGCTGTCTTCCACCACCATGAATTTTTGTTCCTCTGCCATGTGCCAACCTGCCTTGGAACCAGCCCATTGGGGACCGAAACTTCTATAAACTGTGAGCTAAATAAACCTTTTCTCCTTTACCTTTCGGAGTTGAGTATTTTGTCTCAACAATGAGAAAAGTGACCAAGACACTTTGTAACCTCAGGTGACTTAAATTTACTCAGGTGATTTAAATCTCTCTGGACTTAATTTTTCTCATTTAATAAATATATAGACTATTAAACTCCTGAAAGGATTAAAGGAGTTAGTCTAAGTGAAGCACAAAGAACAAACCTCTACAACACTGCACTAGTCATATCCAAATATATCTGCTTGCCAGACAAGGTGGTGTACGCTTGTAATCCTAGCACTCAGGCAGCTGAGGCAGGGGAACTGCCTTGAGTTTGAACCCAGCCTGGGCTATATAGTGAGTTCAAGGCCAGCCTGAAACACATAGCAAGACCCTGACTCAAAAAAAAAAATCTAAACCACATATATCTGCTGGTCACATTGTCCGTCCTTTTAACCCCATTAAGGATCTTGAGGTTTGAGAATGAATAGAGTAGGTACTGTGGCTGACACATAGAAGGCTTTAATATAAATTCATTAATATGCTGATTGAAGATAATAACTCCACTCAACACCCGGGATCAGGGTTACCAGAGAGCACTAAAAGATCTGCTGAGTCCACTACAAACCAGGAGGACAGCAAACTCCATACAATAGTGCTCAGCCTTTGCTATAGAGGAAATAGTGAGGACCTTCTTTTGTGCATGGTATAGAAGAAAGATGCCAGTCCAAAGGCAGCACAGAATCTTGCAGCAGTTGCCTTTGAATGCCATGAAGGTAGGTGATAAGTGCATAAGATTTTACATAACTGAACCATATTGTATGTTTTTCTAGCCCAATTATCTGACCCAATTCACAGTATTGAAGTAGTTCTACTCAGAGTAAACACTGTATTTTGCAGGATCATAAACAAGTGGATCCCAAGACCCACAGACAAGTATCAAATGTTCCATCTATATCCCAAATTGGTATGAATATTAATATTCATGATTCTGGCAGAAAAAATTTATAGCAATCAACAGGGACCTAAAAATCCAAAAAGGTAAGAGGTTATTACAAGCTATGATTAACATTTTCAAGGGTATTCTTAAACAGGAAGTTTCAACATTTTTAACACTTAGTCCCAAACTGACCTGTGGGTCTTTATCAATCTAGGCTTAACTAGAGGTGCCCTGAAGATTTAAGCTCAAAGTCATTAACCAGTCTCCCGCTAGTTGAAAGTATGCATATTACACACCAATTATTTAATAGTCCATTCACGTTCCCATTCTCTTAGCTGTTTTACATGTCCTCTCTTTATCAGCCAAATGTTTTGCTTCCTACATCGCTGAGAACACTGAAGTGCAGTAATGCACTCACGCCCATAGTTTCACCTTCCATGGTTTCAGTTTCTTGTTGTCAACTGTGGCATTGTATGGTCTCACATCACGACAACTGGGTGAGAACAATACCATATGACCATATGAGAGACAGAGATCCTGTGTAAGTACACATTCACATAACTTTTAGTAGAGTATGTTATTATATTTAATGCTATTTTATTACTAATTATTGATGTTAATCCCACTGTGCATTATTTATACTATATATTAAACTTTATCATAGATACACATATACAGGAAAAATACAGCATATGTAGAGTTCAGTATCATCCATAGCTTCAGGTACCTCTTGGGGGTTTTGAAACATATCCTTTGCAGGTGACAATGACTATCGTAAAAGCTAAACATCCAGTCTCATCTCATCTACCTAGCTTTGGACTCTCAACACTCAAATTCTCTCTTCCCATTTGTTATTGTAGACAAACTGTCTTTGCTTCTACCTAAAGCAAACATTACCTCCTGGCCATATGGATTTCATCCTTTATCAAAGGAAGAAACTTTGACAAGTTTTTTCAAACATCATGTATTACTGTCGCCTCTCTTCTGAATTATTTCAATTAATAAACACATTGTTTCATCCACTCTAAAATACACACACACACAAATACACACATGCATAATCGCACACTTCTGTTAGACTCATTTATCCCTTCCTGCCTAATCCATGAAAATATCCAAAACTGAACAGCTGAGATTGACTGCCCAGACCTAGTTTCCCTCCATCTTTCTCACCTCAGTTTATAGTAATAGCAATCTATACGGTTTCTCAGCTAAAACTGTAGAACCAACCTGGATCCCTCTCTGACGCTCACATCCAATCTTTCAGGAAATCTTGAAACCGATTCCGGTTTCTCACAAAGTCCTGATGAGGTTTGTATCTCCTCCTAGAACTTTCTACAGTATTTCTGACTTCATAGAGCTCTTTCCTTCCCCACATATCTCTGTCAGCATTTCCACTGGGCATTTTAATGCTTGTGAGCACTATCTTTTCAAATTCATGACAAGCATAAGCTACACTCTTCTACCTCCCAAAGCATTAAACACAACAGTGCATATTCAGTGATACAACCCTAAGTGTTTTCCTGCATGCTTCTAATAACGGTAACACAAATACTTACTTTTATCTAATGTACTTGATGCATTTGATGAGTTTGTGCCACTTCCATTTACAAAGGTGTCTGTCATGTCTCCAAACACCAGCATCAAGAGAGGGAGCGCAGCTCCATGGATGATAGCAGCCAGAGTCCCCAGCACCATGTACAACCTGTCCAGCCAATTTGAATAGCGAAACTACAAAGAGAATAAAATAGAGCATAGGCACAATTAGCAGCCTTCTAGATGATTTCTTCTGCCTTCAAAACATATCTCAAGACCAAGTATTATTCAGACTACAACTGCTACCACTCAAGTCCAAGTGACCTTTGCTAAACTGTTACAATAATAAATGATGAAAATATCATTTGATTCTTCAGTTGAGTTCTGGCTTAGTTCTTCAGGCTATATTCTGTCTTCTTATGAGGTCAAATGAGCTTATATAATAGAAATATACTATTTGTTTAGGTTTTTAAGGGAAGTTACTTTTCTTTGTCTCACAAGAAAAAAATGCCACAGGCTACTCAAAAGGTAACATTTTATAACTTTTACAAAGTATCATGGCTTAACTTACCAAGAAAAGGAAGGAAAAGATACATATTAATATAATTTGAATGAAAATAGTGAAACCACAACAGATATCACCAAAATCCAGGAGATTATAAGTAAGTACTTTAAAAATCTGTACTCCAATAAGTTAGAGAATCTAGAACAAAGGTGCAGATTCCCAGATATATATGAATTACCAAAATGGAACCAAGAAGATATTAAAACCCTGAACAGACTAATAGCAGGCAATAAAATCTTAGGCAATAATAAAACAATGTATCAACTAAGAAGAGTCCAGGAGCCAATGGATTTACCACAGAATTCTACAAATTGATAGAAGATCTAGTACGAACACTTCTAAAACCCTTTAATGATACAGAAAGGGAAGGAGTACTGCCAAACTCATTCCTGGAAACTACCATCAGCTGCACCAAAACTAGATAAAGATTCAAAACAAAAAATTATAGAGTAATCTCTTTAATGAATATAGATGCAAAACTCCTAAACAAGATACTGACAAACAGAATGTAACAATTCATTTTTAAAAATCACATATCACGGCCAAGCAAACTTTATCTCAGAGATGTAAGGATAGTTTAATACATGTAAATCAATAAATATAATACAGTGCATAAACAGAAGCAAAGACAAAACTTACATGATCATCTCAAAAGACACAGAAAAGACCTTTAACAAAATCCAACATGCATTCATGATTAAAACCCTGAAGAAAATAAGAATAGAAGGGCCTTACCTCTATGTGATAAAAGTTATATATAGCAAACTCATTGCCAATATCATAGTTAACTGGGGAAAACTGAAAGGTTTCCCTCTAAAATCAGGAATAAGATCAATATGTTCACAATCCTCATTCCTGTTCAACCCAAAACTTTAATTAGATCAGGCAAAATTTAAAAAGTACAAAGGATATGTAATAGGAAAGGAAGAAGTCAAAATTATCTTTATTCACAAAAATCACAACCCTGTACATACAAGACCCAAAATATTTTACCAAAAACCACTAGAACTAATAAACAAATTCAGCAAGGTAACAAGATACAAAATTAACACATGAAAATCAATGCCATTACTCTTCATCAATAATGAATCCCAAAGAAAGAAATTAGGACAATGTAATTCTCAATAGCATCTAGAAAAATTAAATACTTAGTTAGGTATTAACCTAAGCAAAAGGTGAAAAATTTCTGTAATGAAAACTATAGTACTCTGAAAAAGGAGATAGAAGAGGACATCAAAAAATGGAAAGATACTTTTTCTTTCAAAGTAAGCAAAACCAATATTGTGAAAATGGCCACTTTTCCAAAATGTATAGCTATATCTCAATCAAAATGACAACAATATTTCTCACAGAACTAGAAAAAATAATCCAAAAATTTATATAGAACCAGAAGAGACGCAGAATAGCAAAAGCAATCCTGAGAAACAAGAGCAAAGCAGGAGGCATCACAATCCCAGATCTTGAGCTATATTATAAAACTACTATGACTAAAAAAACAGCAAAATAATCACAGATAGATAGATCAGTGGAACAGAAAAAACATGCAAAAACATCCCTGTCCATCTGAGCTTTCACAACAGGGTCAAAAATATATGCCAGAGAAAAGATAGCCTCTTTAACAAATGGTGCCAGAAAAACTGACTATTCGCATACAGAAGATTGAATCTAGCCTTCTTTCTCTCACCATGTACTAAACTAAAATCAAAATGTATCAAGGTTTACATATTAAAGAAACACTTCAAGTGATGGAAGCTAAAATGGGTAAAATTCTTGAAGACATAGGCCTTACAGGCAAAGACTTTCTGAACAGAACCCCAACTGCACAAGAAACAATATCAAGAATCAACAAATAAGATCATGCCAAACTAAAAAGCTTCTACGGGGGAGCACCAAGATGGTGAAGTGGCAAGCAGCAGAGAAAGAGACTCTTTGAGAGTCACCATCCAGATCCTGGAGTGTAGCAGTGTGAGAAAGACAAGGAGAGAAGTGGATCTTCTGGACCCAGGAAGAATCTGAAGTATGAATTGAAGCCCACAGAGAGTGTGAAGAGAGAAACTTCAACAAAGAAGAAGGAGGTAGCCTGTGACACCTTCTCCCTGAAACTGGATTCGCTGTACAAGAACAGTTCAAACCTTCAGACACACAGTGATGACTGGTGACCTCAGAGGTCTCTACATGTCGAGGTCGCTCCCGGCCGGCAGGAAAGACACACGACAAAGTCTGGCGGTGTGCAACCTTGCCTTTATTTATCTCCGCGTGGGCCCCGCGAGGCCTCCACTCTGCCACCAGCCCTTTCTCGCCGGTGGACTTTTTCTATCTCTCTCTGTGCTTTCTCTGTGCTTCCTGTCTCGTGGCGGGAGAGGCATTCACTTTTATAGGGTGACAGTGGCCAATCAGTTCAAAGCGCGCGATGCGGGCTGATTGGCTAACATCAGTTGTTGCTAGGCAGACTATCTTACAGAGCGGGTTGTTTAAGTCGCCAGCGCAATCAGGGGGCAGGAAGCAGGCGCCAACTTGACTCACTCGATGGGAGGGGCAATCTAGCTCAGGCTCCGCTCCCACCCACAGGCCCTACGTCCGCCAAGTAAGGCGACCGGTGTCGGCGGCTCCCAACATCTACAGAGAGGTAGAGCAGTGAAGAGGAACAGTGGATATGGGGGACTGTACTTACTGGCTGGCTGTGAGTGCTGAGGGCTCAGTTCTCACATGCCAGAGAGCAACTGGCTGGGGGCCATCGAGGAGTGGGGCTAGCTGGACTCAGAACTGAGAGCTGCTGCCAGCTCCATCTAGCGTCTCTCAGTGGCCTCAGGCCAGCATAAGATACACAGATGGCTGCAGGTCACGAGTCTGGTGTTGGGGGCTGGGGATTTAGCTCAGTGGCATAAGCGCCTGCCTTGTAAGCAGGCAGTCGTGAGTTCGATCCCTGGTACCGATAAAAATGAAAAAGACAAAAAAAAAAAGAGTCTGGTGTTGGCCACAAAGTACAGGCTCACTGAGATTATCCACTGCCCTGCCAAACTACTGCTGGCTTGCTGGAATAAATTAACATGGATCAGCACTCTGTCTCCACACATTGTCTACCAGTGACAGCACAGAAAAACCTGAAAGTAGACTTTTTTCTTTTTTCTCCTCTGTCTTGTTTGGTTTTTGTGGTGATGGTGGTGATTTGACTTTGTGCTTTGATTTTTGTTTTTGTTCTTTTTTTCTTCTTCTATGCTGTTTAGTCTGGCTGCAAAGTGGGAGCTGCAGCTGGAGGTGAGAATGACAAATGAAAGCCTTGGGTGCCTGAATACAGAATACAGGGGATTTTTTCCCTAAACTTATGACTGACAATGGCCCAGCCTACACAAGTACTGCCTTCCAAATATTTTGTAAAATTTTTCATATTTCCTTTACCATATGAATTCCTTATAACCCTCAACATTAAGGAATTGTTGAGCATGATCACCATATGCTCAAAATTTAATTACAAAAACAAAAACAGAAAGCCTTCCCTACAAAATTTACATCTCATAGTATACCTCACTTGCAGTATATACCATTAACTCTTTAAATCCTACTAGAGATGGGACTACAGCAGTAGAAAAACAATTCAACCAGGTAAAAGTGAAAATTGTTAAGATAATTAAAAAAAAATCCCCTAAGGTAGGGAGAAATTATTGGACAGGACTCCAATTGATGACTAAGAAAGCAGCTGCCTGGAAACATTGTCCAGTTCTTGTTCTTTGAAAGGAGGCCCCAAAGATCATAACCTTAGGGAAAACACTCCTATAAATTTTATTAAAATACATTATTATAATGTGTTTATTTTGCTCATTCATCAAAGGATTAAGTTTTCTAGACAGTAAGGTGGTTTTTGATTTAAAGATGTCTTGGTACAAAGGTTTTCATATGCCTGTAATAACTGGTTGTGACTGTTACTATTTTCATAGTATACTGAATGTATTCATGCCTGCAAATGTGCAATTTGCAAAATATGGAATGAAGATCGCTTAAAATGATAGACCTTTCTTTTTTTTTTTTTTTGGTCTTTTTCGTTTTTATTGGTACCAGGGATTGAACTCACGACTACCTGCTTGTAAGGCAGGTGCTTATGCCGCTGAGCTAAATCCCCAGCCCCAAGACCTTTCTTTCAGATTCAGTCATCTACCTTTAACAAAAACTTATACAATGCACATCCCATTAAAGTATAAGGTAGGTAAAAGTTTCCTATGTTTTAAATAGAGATAATTGATTAAAAGAGTTTTTCTATGTCAACATGAAAATTTAACTATGTTACAAAATGTCATCCTGAGTCTCATGCTGTTTTATTATGTATGGCTTTTGATTTCTAATTTTCTGTATAAAATATGTAATCATGAACATTCTATAAGGATTCAAATATTAGAACATCAATGGTTATTAGAAAATAATGGTTCTATTTTATGTTCTAAGCTGCTTGATATTTAGATATGATAGTAACATTAAGCTTACTGCCTTCATTACAATATAATGTCATTAACTTTCTATTTTGAATGTTCAACAACTGAGGTTTGGAGATCAAAAACTAGAAAGACAGATGAGCTAGGAGGACAGCCAAGGTTTTGGCCCCAGCTCTTTGAGGTCAGTGAGGAGGAGAAAAAGAACTAGT